CACTCACTCACTCACTCACTCACTCACTCACTCACTCACTCACTCACTCACTCACTCACTCACTCACTCACTCACTCACTCACTCATTTACTCACTCACTCACTCGTGAATCGTTGCTCATAATATCAATCATTTGTTTACCTGGTCCAGATTTGATTATTAATTTACAAATTTGATGCATCAGTGACAAAAATGATGTCCGATGCAATACCCTATTTTGACATGTACCATGTGTCCCAGTTTTTTTTTTCAGGAGAACAATTGACTTGCCTTTGCATGTGTTTGTGACGGGTGCCACTGGTGGGGCAGGGTACGCTCTCCTTTTCGCGAACACTTGGTATTATCACTATTTGATAGTGATTCATAAACACATGCTCACGATATAGGAGGAATCGTACAATTGACTCTGCTTTTGGCAGAGATTTCTTATGAATATGGAAAGGATTTTGTCGCTATTACAGTTCGACGTCATTAAGGTGGAATATTGCTGAGTAAGGCGTTAAATCATGGAGGCTGCATTCATTCAAGGGCGATGGGATAGCCTAGTGGGTGCAGTGTTCAACAACGTGGATACAGTTTACACTCATTTAAGTTAGTAGGATTGTTGTAAATGCGAGACCCGGATTTGTACATAAAGAAGAGTGAGTGAATGAGTTGGGATTAACGCCGCTTTTAACATTATTCCAGTTATATCACGGCGTGTCAGCTTAATGTGGGAGGAAAGCCCGAAGTGATGCAGGTCTCAGACGTTTACCACTTCGGTGAAACCCACGAGCACGGGTATGGTGCTGACAAACCTAGAAACATAATCGGGGCGAACCGGGATTCGAACCCACAATCATAGGTTTCTGGCGTGTCCAGGGGACGCAACTCTGCACAGCTAATCGCTGCGCCTTAGACGACTTGGCCACCCGTGACCCCCATATAAGGAAGAGACTTGTTTGAATGTCAACTTCTTTATTATGATGAACAGAGTCATGGGTGAACCTGATGGAGGAGTAAGTGTATACTCCGAAACGTTGTGAGGAACACAGGTGATGAAGGAGTCAGTATATACTCCGAAAAATGTGTTCCTCATAATATATAAATTCACACCCATAAATTCTCTTCCTTATGTGTATCACTTCTAAATGCCTTTCAAAGACTTGGATTTGTACCCTTCGTGCGGAAATTAACCGCTCACCATGAGAGTAAGCAAGATGTGTTCAGTTCTGACAATCCATTAACGATATATATTGAGCAGATGTATTGTGCTGGGATAACTTGTTTCATCTAAACATCGATTGTTCTTTGCTCGTTTGTACGTGCAGACCTGTTTACTTCGTTCTGTAATATACCATGGTACAGTGATTGATATATGAATTGATCTTTGAGAAGCAAGATTCCAACACTAATGTTAGACGTCAAAAAACAACAACTTCCACTAGTGTTTTTTGTTCGCAGACAATACTGACAGAAGACGTGGGTTTAGCTATGTGATCAAAGAGATGAGAAATTCCGAGTCTCAATCTACGGGTTGATTAATTTCCTTACAAAACGCTCTAGCCTTTCGATTAATAAAATAAGACGATCGGCGCTGTATTCATAGACGATCAACTGGATGCAACTACTCTGTGATACATCGCTACCAAAGCATGCTGATACTCGCACGTATACTGTATCGATTACACTTCGCTGTCTAAGAGATATAGCTATCTCACAATGTGTCGATTGACTTTGTCTCTCCGCAAAAATAAATAAATATCTCTTTGTGGTATTTTTGGTTTAGCTGAATAACAGATACATATACTAGTATTGATACATTGACTGAAATGTATGATTTGTATGTTTGTTTGTTTGTTTGCGTCTCATTCAGCAATATTCCAACTATACCGCGACGGCCTGTATAATGGGTTTTAGTGAGTCAGTGACGATACTGGTACGCCGCTTTTAGCAATATTCCAGCAATAGTGAGTGAGTGAGTGAGTATGGTTTTACGCCGCTTTTAGCAATATTCCAGCAATATCACTACGGGGGACACCAGAGATGGGCTCCACACATTGTACCCATGTCGGGACTCGAACCCGGGTCTTCGGCATGACGAGCGAACGCTTTAACCACTAGGCTACCCGATCGCACCATAATAGGTTTTAAAGCAAACGAACCAGTGGTTGATATCATGGGTAACATCACCGATCCCGACCACCCGATCATAACAATCGACTCGTATGCCAAGCATAGGTTACCGGGGACCAGTTCTATCCCGGAATCTACAGGTGGTCCCAATGTATACAGACTGATATGTGGACACTAAATGTGGCCGGGAAGTCAAAGACGAATTTCTAATACGACGTCACGACTTCGTTCACAGCATCGCGAAGCAGGTTAAGCACTTGACGAACAGGTCCCTGAAACATGAGTGAGTGAGTGAGTGAGTTTGGTTTTTTCGCCGCTTTTAGCAATATTCCAGCAATATCACGGCGGGGGACACCAGAAATGGGCTTCACACATTGTACCAATGTCGGAAATCGAACCCGGGTCTTCGGTGTGACGAGCGAACGCTTTAACCACTAGGCTACCCGACCGCCCCCCCATGAAACATGACTGTCGTAAGTCAATACTTCACTACATAAAGACAATCGTATCTTACGGCTGCTTTGTAAACGTGTAATAGGAAAAACTGTCAGTCAAAATATCTCTTTTCCGTGTAATTAGGGATTCAATAAGCCTAGATGTATTCTGATAATCCAAACAGGCGTTTTGATAGCCTTGTGGTTATTTAAGCATTCACTCTTCACGCTGAAGGCCTGGGTTCGATTGCCCACATGGGTACAATGAGTAAAGCCCATTTCTGGTGTCCCCCGCTGTGATATTGCTGGAATATACTCTCCATACTCTCTCTGATAAATTCCAATTGCTTTATTAAGTATAGAAAAAAGGAACATTCAGTCCAATTGTCCTGTAAATGTAATTCAAGTGAATGCTTGAAGAGATTGTTTTCAAGTTTGATTATTTGAGAATTGATGGCAAAAAATCCAAAACATGTTTTAAACTGTTAATCATGCCTTGTATGATATTAGCGCTTTCGTTAAGATGAAGGATTACAAATTTCGCTATGGCGAAATAATATACCGTAGATAATGTTCTTTCTTCTTACTGAGCATGTTGTTGAAGCATGTGTCATCTGGTGTAGCAGCAACAACAACGTTGCGGTCGCCCTGCCGTCGGCGTTGATGCATTTAGATACGATTCTTGCTTGATTAACTTGTGTTTGACTGTAAGAAGGACGTGTCTTGTGATCGATATGCTTGCAATATGATCAAAACTCATCTCTGACTCATTGTCTGAAGGTAGCTAGTGTGATTGCTTATTATTAAAGGCAGACATCGAGCGGCTCCCAAATGTTCGAAGACCTAATGTAACACGTGATCTAATTACGTCACAGGAGAGTTCCCTTTCCAACAAGTGTTGTAAGTACAAATTACGATGCGTTTTATTTTTTAAAAAAAGTGACGCTAAAAATCACATGATAACGTAAGCCTTATTCTGGAATAAGTTGAGAAACAATTTGAAACATCCCGACGTTTCTGCGATAGTGATGGAAGCGATGAAGTCCTTCTGGTGTGGAAGGATAAACGGTTGCCACTTGGTCAAATCGACATTGAGAGTTGCTTTCCTTTGCTGCCAATACTATGTTGAAGACTTTGGTAGTACAATGGTTGTAGCATTGATTTCTCATTTGTTGAGAAACAGGGGCGATGTGAGTAAAGTAGTGGTTACAGCGTTCGCTTATTATCACGTGGTCTCACCCTCTCATTTAGAACGTGGATGGCTAACATACTCTCTCACCCTCTCGTTAAGAAACGTGATGGCTAACATACTCTCACACCCTCACATTTAGAAACGTGGATGGCCAACATACTCTCTCACTCTCTCGTTAAGAAACGTGATGGCTAACATACTCTCTCACCCTCTCATTTAGAAACGTGATGGCCAACATACTCTCTCACCCTCTCATTTAGAAACGTGGATGGCCAACATACTCTCCCACCCTTTCATTTAGAACCGTGGATGGCCAACATACTCTCACACCCTCTCGTTAAGAAACGTGGATTGCTAACATACTCTCTCACCCTCTCATTTAGAAACGTGGATGGTCAACATACTCTCACACCCTCTCATTTAGAAACGTGGATGGCCAACATACCCTCCCACCCTTTCATTTAGAACCGTGGATGGCCAACATACTCTCCCACCCTTTCATTTAGAACCGTGGATGGCCAACATACTCTCACACCCTCTCGTTAAGAAACGTGGATTGCTAACATACTCTCTCACCCTCTCATTTAGAAACGTGGATGGTCAACATACTCTCTAACCCTCTCATTAAGAAACGTGATGGCCAACATACTCTCTCACTCTCTCATTTAGAAACGTGGATGGCCAACATACTCTCTCACCCTCTCATTTAGAAACGTGGATGGCGAGCATACACTTCTCACCCTCTCATTAAGAAACGTGATCACCCTCACGATACGATATCGTCTTAACAGCTTCATTCTGCTTTGCAAATTTTGTCTCTAAGCCGTCCCAGTGTCCATTGATCATGGATTCGATCCGATTATAATCCTTTGCTTGTCAGTATCCCCAGTCTACGATGTGCGTCATGGTGGACTCTGTCCACCTGGACCATCCTTCTTAACGTATTTTTTGTCAGTAAAATACGACTGAAGTTTGATACGACTGGAGGTATGATCGTTTAAGGAGTTCTGGATATTAGATAATCATGATTGATAGATCTGAGCCTCTAGTATTCGTTTAACATTATTCTTAATCCGTTAAGTGATGAACACGTATAGCAACTAACAGTATAAATCGTCCATCGTGGCCTGAAGTAATCTGATTAGTGTCAAGCTGCGTGATAAAGATAGGGATTGTAACTTCAACACCGCCGCATCTTCGCACAGTGCTGTCACCCGGATGTCACATCAAGGTCATTCTCTTTGTGATCTATGTTGCAGGAAAGATCACGTGTTTCCGGAAAGTCAAGCGAAACGGGAAGTGCGCAGGACTGATCCGGAAAGGCGCGTTCGAGACACCGGCCTCCTGCTGTCAGAAGGGGTATGGATATTCCCTCAGAAAGGTACGGGAAATTGCTCTGTTGACTACAACAACATATAAAGCTCCCGGGGAACTACGGCGTACACATACCTGTCTCATGCCACACACACATACATGTGCATGCACGTCGCTATATAAGTGCAATAATCTTGGACGCAACGTTAAACCCAATTTCATCTCACCTCACCTCATACAGATTACCATCTTATACTGCACCCAGTCGTCCTCTGAGACGCCGAAATTAGCTGCCCAGAGTTGCGTGCCTTGGTTTTGTTAGGATCCGCGTCCTGTGTTCGAATCCGCGTCGAGTATGATCCTCAGTTTGTCAGAACCATATCGATACACGTTGGTCTCAACACCGTGGTTATCAAACGCCTATGAATTATGCCACTAACGGCTTAAGTCCCAAGGGTAGCTTGCACACTGACATAACTGAAATACTGTTCAAAGCCGTTCTACCCAACTCAGTAGAATGCCAGAGTATAGTAGATAATCGTCTCGATGGTAATTTGTTTGTTATGAGGTACAACCCAATTTAGTATTGCAAGCACGGAAAATACCCAATTATCTCGATTGAAATGTTGCCTATTCCTTGCAAACGAGGGTTTAATGACGTCCGAGTATAGTTCTCTACCACAGAGAAATGTTCCCTCATTTACTTCGTGATGGATGTCAATGTGTCGCTACTGTGGCGGAACAATACATGGCAACGCTAATCGATCGTTTCAAATACGTGTGTTTTTTTCAGTGTAAATGGCATTGAGAATAATATCATGCAATTTAAAAAGCGCAATATTTTTTTCAGCAAAAAGTTGGCAAGAACCGGTTTAAATGTGATCCGTGTGTAGGAAAGACTCTCAGGCCAACCAAGCGACCAAAGACGAAGAAGTTGCAGAAATTACGTAAAGAGAAACACCCCAAGAAGGAGAAGAAAGTGAAGCCCACCGAGGAAACACAGACGGTAGAGCCAGTTGTCGTGGTCAAACCTAAAGAATCGTGGTATAAGCCGTCTAAGAGAACAGATATATCGTGTAAGTTGACATAATATAATATTGTTTTACGCCACTCTAAATATGTCGCAGTCTTGTCAAGATCAAAATTATGGTTTTCATTCGGAGATTCAAACCCAGGACTGTGTGACGAGCGAACACACTATCGATTTGGCCACTCCACGCCATGGCCAATAAGAATATATGAAAGAAAAACAGTTTAATGGGTATAATTAAAAAGAAAGAGTTCTTAATACAAGGGTGGACAATTTTACACTGATAGAAACCAACCGGTCAACACAATGCCATCCTTGTTAAACATTCGTTCGAGATAAAACTTTAAAGCTTTTTGGGTTCGACAATTGTCTGAGGCCCCGCAATGCCCTGTGCAGAATTACATCCCTTTGGCGTGATAGGCTCCGCTGATCGTCGGTTGGAATCCCAGATTTTCCATGATTATGACACGTCCACGACTGGACTTTCCTCCAAAAGCTGACTGCCGTGATTCAACTGAAACACTGTTCAAAGCGGCGTTAAACTTTCTGACTCTTAAACTGATATATATATATATACATACACTGTACATTCTGTAGATTCATACGGGGCGGTCGGGTAGCCCAGTGGTTAAAGCGTTCGCTCGCCATGCCGAAGACCCGGGTTCGATTCCCGACATGGGTACAATGTGTGAAGCCCATTTCTGGTGTCCCCCGCCGTGATATTGCTGGAATATTGCTAAAAGCGGCGTAAAACCATACTCACTCACTCACTGTAGATTCATACAAGAAAACAAGATGTCTGAGACCTGCATCACTTCGGGTTTCCCTCCTACATTAAGCTGACATGCCGTGATATACTGAAACACGCACATCAATGGGACGTAGCCCTGTGGTTCAAGTGTTAGCTTTTCACGTGGTCGGCCTGGGTTCGACCCACTCCTGCGTCTCATCACTCATTCACACTTTAATATAGACACTTCTAGAACATAGTCGTGTTTCCTTCTCCGAATAATGCACTGGGATGCTTATTCTGTCCAGTTAGCTCTTCATCACCGTCCAAACGGCTGCAGTCTGAGGCAGCGGTAGATCACATCCTTCCATCGCCTATTGTAAAGCAGCCCCCGAGACTCAAGTCATTTCATGGACTTTATTTCAGCATGACAACTGGTTAGGATTTATCAATGTCTTGAGCGGGCAGAGTATCTATTAGCCCGGGGTCGGACCGTTCCCCTGCCCCGCAGGCAATTTGAGCAGCTAGGGAGATATAATAGGTTTATACGTTGAGAGTTTATGATTTCCCACTGCTCTCCAAAAGAGCGAGATGTCCACGGAATAACAGTCTGAGATTATACACACATTAGGCAGCTTAATTGCATATTATGGATGGCAGGAGAACTGCATGTATAAATAGGAATAAAACTGCATGCATTCCATGCGTTATGAAGTCGTTAAACTGTCTGAATACTGTCTGAACCAAAGAGGAATCTTGTAAGGTCATCTCAGCTTTGACAAAACTCCAGTATGTTCCGTTGGTCGTGTGAGTGAGTGAATGTTGTTTAATACCACCAGTCTGAAGTATTCGACCCTGTGTACCGGCGGCCTGTAAGTGACCAGTCTCGACAGGCAAACAGGTGACGGAAAGCATGAGCACCGATCCCAGCAGTCGACTGATGATACACAATTCGCAAACAGATCAACCACGTCATCCAAGTCACAGATCAACCGAGTCATCCAAGTCACAGATCAACCAAATCATCCAAGTCACAGATCAACCAAGTTCACCAAGTCACATATCAACCAAATCAACCAAGTCACAGATCAACCAAATCAACCAAGTCACAGATCAACCAAGTCAACCGAGTCACAGATTAACCAAATCAACCAAGTAACAGATCAACCACGTCAACCGGGTCACAGATCAACCAAGTCATCCGGGTCACAGATCAACCAAATCAACCAAGTCACGGATCAACCAAGTCAACTGAGTCAACTGAGTCAACTGAGTCCCAGATCAACCAAGTCAACCGACTCACACATCAACCAAGTCCCAGATCAACCAAGTCAACCGAGGCACAGATCAACCAAGTCCCAGATCAACCAAGTTCATCGAGTCACAGATCAACCAAATCAACCAAGTCACAGATCAACCAAATCAACCGAGTCACAGATCAACCAAGTTCACCAAGTCACATATCAACCAAATCAACCAAGTCACAGATCAACCAAATCAACCAAGTCACAGATCAACCAAGTCAACCGAGTCACAGATTAACCAAATCAACCAAGTAACAGATCAACCACGTCAACCGGGTCACAGATTAACCAAGTCCCAGATTAACCAAGTTCACCGAGTCACAGATCAACCAAATCACGGATCAACCAAGTTCACCGAGTCACAGATCAACCAAATCAACCGAGTCACAGATCAACCAAGTCAACCAAGTCAAAGATCAACTACATCACAGATCAACCAAGTCAACGATTCTTACGCAAACGGAGGTTACTGGAGACCTATTATACTCCGGAATCCCTCCTCCATATATATGCGGCGTAAAGCAATAAAAGCTCACTCAATAGATATATATGCGCGAGTTGCTTCCCTTACCATCCAGTATCCTCTCGACCCCCCCCCCCCCCCCAAGACTACGTCTACTGTTCCCCATGAGTGAAGTCAGAGCCGACCTAAATGGGGATCGGGTGGTCACAGTGCATGATCTTGTTGCATTAACCAAATACTCCCACCCCACCCCCAATCCCCAGTCACCTCCCTACATACCCGTTCATGCAATAATGTTCCCTCTCCCCTCGTTCATACAGTTATGTCCGCTCTTCCCCTAGACTCCTACTTGGACCCGGAGAGAGAGAAGATTCGCTGGGGCCCGTGGAGTCCGTGCAGCGTCACGTGTGGAGCAGGGTGGAGGTCAAGGTTCAAGGTCTGTGATGACTGCGACAGGAACGACTACGAGAATGTGCAGTCTCAGCCATGCATGGTCAACTTCTACTGTCCAGGTGAGTCCACGTTTGTTTGTTTGTTTGTTTGTTTGCTGTTTAACGCCGCACTCAGCAACATTACAACTATGTGATGGCGGCCTGTAAATAATCGAGTCTGGACAAGACAATCAAGTGATTCACATCATGAGCATCAATTGGGATAGGATGACATGCATCAACCAAGTCAGCGAACCAGACCATCCGATTCCGTTAGTCGTTCTTACCACGAGCATAGACGCCAAGCAAGGGTTGCTGAAGTCCTATTCTACCCCAGATCTTCACGGGTCAGGTGAGTCTGCGGCCAGGGCCACTAAACTATCATAGCACTACGACTGCCGTGACTCCTTTAACAGACACGTGGTAATGCCAGCACAATGATAGCGTTGTAGAAAGAATGAGTGTGAGTTTGGTTTTACGCCGCCTTTAGCAATATTCCAGCAATATCACGGCGGGGGACCCCAGAAATGGGCTTCACACATTGTACCCATGTCGGGATTTGAACCCGGGTCTTCGACGTGACGAGCGAACGCTTTAACCACGCTACCCGACCGCCCCCGTTGTAGAAAGAAGTCAGATTAGTAGCTGAAACAGCTGTTGTCAAACAGAACCGTATTTGTGACAGAAGTGTCGAATACCCCAGGGCCTCCTCGGGACTCTTGTTGATAGAGCGTCTGCAGAGAGCGGAAGGTCGGTCATACGAAAAAAAACACCCCAAAACCAACGTTTACATATCATATTTCTTGTTTCCCTGCCAGGCGTATTGCTTTAAGGGAATGAAACAAGGACTGGAGGGCTGGGAGTCAGTATACTGTGTCCGAGTTGGGTATTCATGCTAGACTGAGGCATGGTACTTCAGTGGGTTAGCACAATATAATATGCATTATTACAGACTCACACACACACGCACGCACGCACGCACGCACGCACGCACGCGCGCGCAGTCGTAGCGCTAAAGGTGATTGTAACTCCTATACTTTAACATAGACTTACGGCAGTCGTAGCGCTAAGGTGATTGCAACTCCCATACTTTAACATAGACTTACCGCAGTCGTAGCGCTAAGGTGATCGTAACTCCCATACTTTAACATAGACTTTCGGCAGTCGTAGAGCTAAGGTGATCGTAACTCCCATACTTTAACATAGACTTACTGCAGTCGTAGCGCTAAGGTGATTGCAACTCCCATACTTTAACATAGACTTACGGCAGTCGTAGCGCTAAGATGATTGTAACTCCCATACTTTAACACAGACTTACGGCAGTCGTAGCGCTAAGATGATTGTAACTCCCATACTTTAACATAGACTTACGGCAGTCGTAGCGCTAAGATGATTGTAACTCCCATACTTTAACATAGACTTACGGCAGTCGTAGCGCTAAGATGATTGTAACTCCCATACTTTAACATAGACTTACGGCAGTCGTAGCGCTAAGGTGATTGCAACTCCCATACTTTAACATAGACTTACGGCAGTCGTAGCGCTAAGGTGATCGTAACTCCCATACTTTAACATAGACTTACGGCAGTCGTAGCGCTAAGGTGATCGTAACTCCCATACTTTAACATAGACTTACGGCAGTCGTAGCGCTAAGGTGATCGTAACTCCCATACTTTAACATAGACTTACGGCAGTCGTAGCGCTAAGGTGATCGTAACTCCCATACTTTAACATAGACTTACGACAGTCGTAGCGCTAAGGTGATCGTAACTCCCATACTTTAACATAGACTTACGGCAGTCGTAGCGCTAAGGTGATCGTAACTCCCATACTTTAACATAGACTTACTGCAGTCGTAGCGCTAAGGTGATCGTAACTCCCATACTTTAACATAGACTTACGGCAGTCGTAGCGCTAAGGTGATCGTAACTCCCATACTTTAACATAGACTTACGGCAGTCGTAGCGCTAAGGTGGTCGTAACTCCCATACTTTAACATAGACTTACGGCAGTCGTAGCGCTAAGGTGATCGTAACTCCCATACTTTAACGTAGACTTTCGGCAGTCGTAGCGCTAAGGTGATCGTAACTCCTATACTTTAACATAGACTTACGGCATTCGTAGCGCTAAGGTGATCGTAACTCCTATACTTTAACATAGACTTACGACAGTCGTAGCGCTAAGGTGATCGTAACTCCTATACTTTAACATAGACTTACGGCAGTCGTAGCGCTAAGGTGATCGTAACTCCTATACTTTAACGTAGACTTACGGCAGTCGTAGCGCTAAGGTGATCGTAACTCCCATACTTTAACATAGACTTACGGCAGTCGTAGCGCTAAGGTGATCGTAACTCCTATACTTTAACGTAGACTTACTGCAGTCGTAGCGCTAAGGTGATCGTAACTCCTATACTTTAACATAGACTTACGGCAGTCGTAGCGCTAAGGTGATCGTAACTCCCATACTTTAACATAGACTTACGGCAGTCGTAGCGCTAAGGTGATCGTAACTCCTATACTTTAACGTAGACTTACGGCAGTCGTAGCGCTAAGGTGATCGTAACTCCTATACTTTAACATAGACTTACGGCAGTCGTAGCGCTAAGGTGATCGTAACTCCTTATACTTTAACATAGACTTACGGCAGTCGTAGCGCTAAGGTGATCGTAACTCCTATACTTTAACATAGACTTACGGCAGTCGTAGCGCTAAGGTGATCGTAACTCCCATACTTTAACATAGACTTACGGCAGTCGTAGCGCTAAGGTGATCGTAACTCCCATACTTTAACATAGACTTACGGCAGTCGTAGCGCTAAGGTGATCGTAACTCCCATACTTTAACATAGACTTACGGCAGTCGTAGCGCTAAGATGATTGTAACTCCCATACTTTAACACAGACTTACGGCAGTCGTAGCGCTAAGATGATCGTAACTCCCATACTTTAACATAGACTTACGGCAGTCGTAGCGCTAAGGTGATTGCAACTCCCATACTTTAACATAGACTTACGGCAGTCGTAGCGCTAAGATGATTGTAACTCCCATACTTTAACACAGACTTACGGCAGTCGTAGCGCTAAGGTGATCGTAACTCCTATACTTTAACATAGACTTACGGCAGTCGTAGCGCTAAGGTGATCGTAACTCCTATACTTTAACATAGACTTACGATAGGTCCAGTTATGTTTCCATGTGGGTTTTACTTTATCAAACAGATCATTACTAAAGAAAGCACTTGTGAATAAATCAGGTATATAATCCATATTTTCTACGTATTCCGCCTAATGGGAGACTGCTATATCAACATGATCGCGCATCTGTCTCCAGACCAGACCAGGAAAAAGATTTTTGACAATAACTCGATATTTCCCCGCCAGTCTTGATGTTAACAACGTCTGCTTTCGTCAGTAGTTGATTTCGTGAAGTTGAGAGTTTCCTGCGAGTATGTATAAACAAAGTGCTGCCTCGTTAATCCGTATCGTTCTCTAGGAAGTAGTCCGGATTAACGTGTGTCACGATACTGATAAGGAGCAATGACCATTGACCATTTCAGTAATCGACCGGAAAGTGTGATGGTTCTCGGACTGACTGGGTTTGTCTGTATCTTGAAGTGGCAGTCGTTTGCACCACGTCTGTGAGTCGTTCTCAAAGAAGATTTCTGATCGACCCGCATTCTAAGGCGTGGAGCAGGACATGTTTATCTTTTCGCGACACCTGATTTTCAGTGATCCATTCATATAATGTTAACCACTGTTGTGCATTTAACGCCCAAAGGAATCTGTTTCGGCAGATAATCGAGACTGGTTGTTCTCTAGCTTTGACGTTATATATTGTATATGATTGCTTACAACTGATCGTCGTTCTGGTGTCTACCTTACCAGTTCACCAGGGATGAAAAGTTAAGCTCTTATAATAACCTAGATAATTGAGGATGATGTCTATATTCCAATATGATACTTCACCGCCATAGCTCATGTCGTGAAGATTCCGGGTTAGAATTGATCTTCAGCAACCCATGCTTGTCGTAGGAGGCGACTAACGGGATCGGGTGATCAGGCTCGCTGACTTGGTTGATGCATGTCATCGTATCCCAATTGCGTGAATCGATGCTCATGATGTCAATCACTGGATTGTCTGGTCCAGACTAAATTATTTACAGACCGCCGTCATATAACTGGAATGTTGCTGAGTGCGGCGTTGAACAACAGACAAAAAAATCATGTCGGGAGATATGTCACCATTGCCATCTATCATCATTTATAGTTTGTCCGGGGTTTCTCTCGCTTATGATTGTAATTTGTTTGGGTGGCTTTTTGAGCGTCGTCGCATTCAAATAGGGTTCATAACGCAGCTATGAACACTGGTCAACAGTCAATATACTGTGTCTGTCTGTCTGGCTCTCTCTGTCTGTCCGTCTCTCACACACGTGCATGTACGTCGCTGTATAAGTGCAGTAATCTTGAATGCAACGTTAAACCCCATTTCACCTCCCCTCTTAATCGAATGGTAGATACAATACTCTGGATAATCGAGGATGTACACTTATTTGTCGAGGTAGTGTACGCCAGCTTCATTCAACAGTTGTCAGTTTTTGTTAGGAACCTAGATGGTTATGTTAGAATGTTTAAACATCTTTGGAGAATGCTTGGTACCCAGTGTTCTTGTAATTAATTCCTTTAAGAAGTGAATCAATCCCACCATGATTGGATTAATATCCCGCCCTTTCCCAACACAAAGGACTCCATCTTGTTTCACACGAACCAAAGCCCCTACCGCTACTGGTTGATCTTTATATTTTAAGGAAATTGAAATTCACGCTTCAACTTGATCACTGCTGGAATAATGTGGTAGATTCAGTATTCATTACTCATAGAATCATCTCGGAGGCTTGCTCCCCTGTGAATATATAAAGAAACAGGAATAGGAGCTTAACCACACTGAAAAGTTGGATCTATATTTATCAATTCATCAAAAATCAATCCTCTGCGATTCCTGACGAATCCTCAATGATACGAACGAGGGGTGATGTTAGATCGATGGAATCTGATTAACTACGGTTATGCAAAGAATATTGTCGGAAAGTCAGCAAGATAAAGTGACCAAAGACACTGCCACATTGCACGTCGGACCAGAAGACACTGCCACATTGCACGTCGGACCAGAAGACACGGAGCAGTCAATCTGAAGCAGGATGAAGTATTCTGTCTCTGATTGTGGGTTTTATTGGGGTCGCGGCCGAGGACCAACTCGGTCTAGGGAGGGATAGATGTGAATTCTGTCTTGATTACTCACCGCTGGCCCCGAGACAAACTGTAATTGTTCTTGAAGTTAGATACTCGGGAGACCAACATGGCTTCCGCGTCATCACACGCCAGGTCTTCGGCTTGACTATCTCGTACTTGTCTGGGCGTTACTCAACTTTTGGAGTGAGTTGGTTTAGAGTAATGTTTTTGTTAAATCACGGCGTGAGAGAGTGATGGGGAGGAAAACCCGATGTGGTACAGGTTATATGTGTTTACCGCTTTGGTAAAACTTACCTGCAATTGTTTGGGACCGCCTCCGTGGTCTAGTGGTAGAGCGTCCGCCCGGAGAGCGGAAGGTCCGGGGTTTGATCCCCGGCCGCGTCATACCAAAAGACGTTTAAAGATGGTACTTGTTGTTACCCTGTCTGGCGTTCCTCATTAAGGGGCTAAAACAAGGACTGGTCGGCTCGGAGTCAGTATACTGTGTCTGAGTGGGGTATTCATGTTAAACTGCGGCATGGTATCTCAGGGAGCTAGCACTATAAATCGGCATCAGTTCGGACTAGTACAAGCAGCCACACAAACACACACACGTACATGCACATCGCTATATAAGTGCAATAATGTTGGACGCGACGTTAAACCGCATTTCACCTCACCACCTCACCTTGTTTGGTGCTGACACACCAAGGGTCATAATCAGTACACAATTTGGGATTCAAACCCACAACCAACTGTCCTGAGTTGCGGATCCCTATACCACAGGGCCACTACAAGCATGGTAGTAGTGACCTTATACAACAGGGCGAATCTGGAATCCGAACCCGAGATCTGCAGATTCTGGCACGACTAAGGGATGCAACTCTGTACAGCAAATTGTGGCGCATTAGATGACTGGTCCACCCATACTTCTGACATTTAGATGTGGGACACTTTCCAGATACTTGATAATTTGTCGTCACTTATTTCGCATTTCTTAACTTAATAATTGATCCTAGATCTGGATTTGAACAACACTGAAGATATATTCAAGGGGTCCTGATTTGAGTTTGTAAATCAAGGAGGCACTTTGGTCATGCCATGAAATAATCAATGCCCCGTCAAGAAATTGAAACTCATGCTACGACACTTGAAACTCTTTGAAGTCGGGGAGAACCGGATTGAACTGAAACTACGTAAATTTGATATCCGACCAGATCCGGCGCTGTTGGGGCCTAGGATGGAAATTTGAAGGTACTAGACTGTTTGCTCAGTTGGGGAGTGTTGGTATAGTGGGTGTATTTAGAAACAGTCAGAAGAAGCGAGTCTCGATGGTCTTTAGCTCGGGTCCAGACGGAAATCGATGAACGGTCTTACATCCTGTACTGCTGCACATATTGGTATGCATTGCATGGCCCGACCAGCTATTGCTTCATACACACGACTACACCGAGTAAATGTTTCTAGTTTGGCGCTCTTCAGGCAAACATTTTTTCAGTCTTTGAATATTTTACTGAAATATGTTCGGCCGGGACATTTGTAAAAATGTGCTGCGAAACGACCGCCCACGACGGACTACAGATTAGCATCAATAAATGTGGATGCGCGTCTAGATCTGAATTGCTGTTTCACCGTTTGGAAAATTAGACATTTTATATTGAGATAAAATTTGTAAAATTCAAATATGTTTTGTAAGAGGAGAAATCTATAAGAAGCAAAAGTGGGTTATGAATTTTATGTTGCGTTATTTGTAAAAAATATCACTGGCGTTTTCCTGAAAACCAATCTCAATAAAAAGAATATAAATTGCAGAAAAACTCGTAAATACTGTTATGTAAACAACTATATATTATCTGGTAGATTTTAAAGCCTCGACGCGAGAGCAGATATGGGTATTCATGAACACTTTGATCAGGAAATCTATTCCTGACGTAAAGGAGCTAGCTTCGTCATTCTTTATTCACTGAAGAAAGACTTGAAATCCCGACCTCCTTTAACATAGAGGGTCAACATCTTACATAAATAACGGCGGGAAGTTGAACTGTCAAAATAAATTGTTGTCATCAGGCTCAACGGAGACGCAAACATTTCAACCGGATGTCGTCTGATGCAGCTTATTTTAGGCGCCATTCTGAAACAGTTGACGCGATAAGATCGATATTGGAACGAACTGGGTCGATGAAAGCTTTTTGGCTCTGGGATCGATAATTTCGATGATTTGCGTAACGCCAGCTCTAAGTCTTGCACCAGAACTTCTGATGACATAAAAGCTTCTTTAATGAGTTTCTGTCCAATTTGAGAGGGCACTGTTAGGCGTACGTGCGATAATTCTTTATACGTGTTGGCTATGTTTGGAGTTCAAAATAGGAATTATATTAGGAACTGAAGGGAAATTGCTTCTGATCTTGTATGTTTGCAGAGATGTTTACCAGGGATCGCATCCTCTTGGCTCAGCCGCCTGATAAATGTCACGCGCTTCCTTCATCAGCACAGGGCCGTGGGGTAGCCTGGTGGTTAATGCTTTCGCTCGTCACGCCGAAGACCCGGCTTCGGTGTATGTGAAGCCCATTTCTGGGTGTACCATACTCCCTCACTCAATCCTTGAGTGGGTTATAATAATAATAATAATAATAATAATCATCATCAGGAAAGACATGGCAAATATGCAGACTTCGCTTCCGCAATGTCACGCTTGTATCCCAAGTACCAAGTTGTCCGACTCCCCATTGTTCTCGGTGCCTTAGGTTTGGTACCTCCCTATCTGTTGACTGACACTGGGAGAGTACCCGGGTTTGCTACCATAAATACAGCGCTTCTGACAATCTGGGTAATGCAGAAGGCTGCAGTGTTGGGGAGTCTTCACATTCTCCGAAAGGTTCTAGGTGGGTTTGACTGCGCCTGTCTGGGTTGCGTGTACAAGGGGCAAGAGCCCTGAAATGACGATGAACCTAACAAGCCTGACTGTGCCAAGATAATAATTTCTATGTATCTGAAGATGACTGGCGATTGTTTTTAGCTTGTTCGTAAAAGCATATACTATTGAACCATGACTCTTTTTCAGTCAAATAAAGTGTCTGATGAACATGTGTGTGTGTAAAATCTGAGGCCAAGTACTCCCAGGCCCAGTCATCACCTCCCACCCTCCACCCTCCACCCTACACCCCACCAAAACCCCATCGCTCGGTGATTGGTGTAATTGCGTGTCACGTACCCGGCCGGGGGGACACGGTCCAGACTAAAATACCACACAGTACACGCGACGTCTTGTTAGTGGATGTATTCTACTCGGTGTTATGGAAAGGTTTGGGGCGATTTATCTGAAACAGTTGGACGTTTCTTTGAAGATTATTACCTGCATGTGCGTGACAATGTTGTTTTGTTTTCAGTCGATGGTAATTGGGGACCCTGGTTTCCATGGCAACCTTGCTCACTTTCCTGTGACCGGGGTTCCAGGATCCGTCAGAGGAAATGCAACTATCCCCCTCCTGCGTATGGTGGACTCGTCTGTCCTGGACAAGCGGAGAACAATCAGACTTGCAATGAACAACCATGCCCGGGTAGGTCCACTCTTACATCCGGTGGGTGCCCGATACATGAGTGAGTGAGTGAGTTGGGTTTAACGCCGCTTTTAACACTATTCCAGTTATATCACGGCGTGTCAGCTTAATGTGGGAGCAAAGCCCGAAGTGATGCAGGTCTCGGACGTTTATCACTTCGGTGAAACCCACGAGCACGGGTATGGTGCTGACAAACCTAGAAACATAATCGGGGCGAACCGGGATTCGAACCCTCAATCATAGGTTTCTGGCGTGCCCAAGGGACGCAACTCTGCACAGCGAATTGCGGCGCCTTAGACGACTGGGCCACCCGTGCCCCCGCCCGATGCATGAAAGAGGTTATCCCTGACGTTCAAATTCGCTACGTGGATACGATATGATAAGAACAATTTGGGCATCCACCGTTGTTATAATTGTGAATATTGCTTAGTTTCGTATAGACCTGCCCACTTTCATCGGGTGGTTGGCTACCCGAGATGTCAAGGCGTTAACGAGCGGCGTTAAATGGAGTATACGTGATGCCAGAATGCGAGATGACGTCATTGGCATTGGTGTGAAACATCGTTCTTCACTTCGACCAGAGACGTCGTTGAACATCGATATGAGATATCATTAGTTACGTTGACCGGTGATGTCGTTAGTGCCGTTGACGTGAGACATCGTCAGTGGCGTTGACCTGACCTGAAACGTCGTTAGTGGCGTTGACCTGGTCTGTGACGTCGTTAGTGACGTTGGCCTGAGACATCGTCAGTGACGTTTACCTAACCTGAGACGTCGTTAGTGACGTTTATCTGAGACATCGTTAATGACGTTGGCCTGAGACATCGACAGTGTCGTTGACCTGACCTGAGACGTCGTTAGTGACATTGATCTGAGACATCGTCAGTGACGTTAACCTAACCTGAGACGTCGTTAGTGACATTGATCGTCAGGTAAAGTTGACCCGTGACGTCGTTCTTAACGTTAATATGAGACGATGTTTTTGACGACCATGTGTTGCTGTCTATAAAATGTCGTTAATGGTGTTGGTGTGAAATGTTGACATTGTCGTTGCAGTTGATGGAAACTGGGGCGCCTGGTCTGAGTTCTCGCTGTGCAGCACCACGTGCGGTCAGGGGATAAAGCGGAAGACGCGCGCCTGCAACTCCCCCGCCCCCCTTCACGGGGGGAAGAACTGTGTTGGCTCAGCTAACAGCAACAAGAAGTGCCAAACTCTCAGATGCCCACGTAAGTAGCCATTTTGATTTATCTTCAATGATATCGAGACCACCGCCTTCGGTGCAGATTCAACTCTAAGCCTTACAGCTCGAATTGCCCAACCTATAAGCATATATTTTTGAGAGCTACTGGGGAGTGCACGGGGTGAATTCCAGAACCATATGCTTGTGGAAAGAGCTGACTTCTCTGAAACTCCGGTAGTTACAATGGGGGCCTGGCTCACTGCCTTTCATCGAAGACCCAGAGCGTGCTCATGCCCCTATCCTCGATTTGCCTGGCCCGGTTCGCTGTTATATATCAGACATTGTGCAGACTACGGTATAAAACAACATGCAGTCACTCAACTAAGCCCGGCAAACACATGAACTACATTTTCATATTTTCATTACTTTTGCCTTAATTTGACTTGCCTTAAACTGACTTTTCCATATTTCACTTGTACCAAATGTTCTCGTGTTCTTTCAAGTGAACAATTGACTTGCCTGTGCATGTGTTTGTGACCGAAGCCACCTGTGGGGCAGGATGCGCTTTTTTCCTGATCGCCTGATATCAACATTATTTGATAGTGATTCATAAACACAAACTCATTATATAGCCGGAATCGTACAATCGATTCTGCTTTTAACAGAAATTTCTTAAGAATGTGGAAAGAATTTGGTCGCTTAACATCACTGGCACAACACGCAGGGATTCCGGGTTAGAACTGGTCCCCAGTAACATATGCTCACAATATCAATCACCGGATTATCTGGCCGCCGCCATATACTGGAATACTGCTGATTGCGGCGCAATACCAGTACTACTACTGAGAGCGCCCAGCTTTCACCAACATACACTCAGCAGACTCGGGTTTCACGTTAAACACGATTTCAATGGCCTGTGATATTAATGATCCTGCCTTCAATACAAATTAGATTACAGTCCTCAAATGGCCCTAGAGGAATGTAGCAAATTTTTTTGACAGACAAAACAGACTTTGGAAAGTTCCTGAGCTTGGTTATTCGATTTCCGAGCATCTGCCCGGTACCCCCAAGCGTATGTAAAATTAGCGTAATACTATAATACTATTATTTCAGCTCCTGAAAGTTCTGTTTGTGCGTTGAGTTGAGATGTGTGGAATCACATTACAAACTCAGTGTGCCTTTTTAAACCTGGATATAATATCGCTATTTGTAAACGACGGGGCACAAAACCTGGATATAATATCACTATTTGTAAACGACGGGGCACAATGACCCTGTGGTATAAGGGTGCGCCGTTTCGTACTTATAATGAGCCTTGGTTTGGCAGCACCACCTCTAGCTTATGGGGTTCGTCAAGTGATAGGAGGGTTTGTCTTACAACTTTAAGAATTTAAGTTTTTTATTCGACGTCGAACTTTTGCACCGGTCCCTAAGCGTCCTGGTGATCCAGTCTTCTAAGGCAGTGCCATTTGCTGTGCACAGATGCGTACCTTGCGCAAGCTTTGGCCATGGGTTCGAATCGCTCTGTAAATGTTTCTAGGTTTGTCAGCACCATACCTGTGCTTGGTTGAAGCGTTAGTTCGTCTCACCGAATTTAGAAGACCCGGGTTCGATGCCCAAAATAGATGCAATGTGTGAATCCTACATAAAATATTGCTAACGCTGCGTAACATCCTACTTATTCACTCTTGACATAGTTTGTTGTTTAGAATAATGGGAGATTTTCCGACCGCTTCCGGTGGAGCCGATTACGCACTTGGGCGGAAGCGTTGTTTTCACGTTTATTTCATGTCTATTTTACGTCTATTTCATGTCTATTTCACGCTTAATTCATGTCTGTTTCACGTCTGTTTCGCGTCTATTTCAGGTCTATTTCATGCCTGTTTCACGCCTTTTCACGTCTATTTCAAGTCTATTTCATGTCTGTTTCACGTCTATTTCATGTCTGTTTCACGTCTATTTCATGTCTGCTTCACGTCTGTTTCATGTCTGTTTCAGAGGACGGAGGCTGGTCCTTGTGGGGGTCGTGGTCCAAGTGCGCTGTGACCTGCGGACAGGGGACACGACAGCGAACCAGGTCATGTGACAGCCCACGTGCACTGTATGGAGGGGAGGATTGCGAAGGGGGCGGGAGGGAGACCCTCATGTGCTATGGGGGGAGGCCGTGTCCAGGTAAACATGAAATCCAATCAGGTCATTTATAAATCCATATTGTGGTACCGATTGCATTTAATTTACAAATAGGGATGGCGTTTGTTTTTAAAATTGTAGTGATTTTTTAAAAACCTTGCAACTCTGTTGAAAACTTCTATATGTGTGAAATTGTGCACTTGTTTTATCATGGATGGCGAGTACCATAAAATATACCGTGGGTTGGTACGTTGCTTTAGTGTCCGTCGGGCAATTGGAGCCATGTCTCTTATTCAGGGTTATCTACGCCAAATTAATCTTGAAAAAATCTTGATATCATGAACTAGCTCATCATCGATTATCCAGGCTATTTAATGATAGCTATTTTAATAAATGGCCCTGGACCATCCTTAACCACAAAAAAAAATAAAAAATAAAAAATAATATAAATGCACACCCTGAAGTAGAGACAGCAACACAAAACGATCCATTTCAACATCACAACATCCCATTTGCCAGTAATAAACGTTACGTCAGAGGCGTCCCTGGGACGTCATCGTGCGTGACAGCCCATTTGTCTCCCCGCGACGTCACCGTCTTTGCATCCTTTTCGCGAACATGCTGAGGACACACATAGTGTAATTGTCCCTTTACGTACTGGTCGATTTTACCTACTTTAACACTGAAGGGAGAGGCAGTTTTATCAAAGAAGCCCATCTGTTTAGATTACATACCCCCCGGCACTCAGACAAAAACCGTACATTGTCGTCGCAAGTTCGCCAAAGTTTAAGATCAATACACAGTTTTCTGTCATGAAGTTAAATTTGTGAGTCGTTTAGTTGTCTTAGAAACAGTCATGAAACCCCCACAGAAGATTGATGGAATCCCACTGTGTATGGTCTCATATGGCAAAAAGCTAAAGTGTATTTAACATGAGGAAAAATCTTTGCGGAAAGTCAGTGCTGTGGAGAATTTGGAAATTGTTTTCGGGGTTTTAGTCATAAATCAAATTTTCTTCTTGATTATGAAACTCATGCGATACTCATTGGTTTCCGGGCAGAACGGGACAGTGAGGTAAATAAGGGATGAGAGCGTTTAGATTAGTTTACAAACATCAATATTTTCCTATTGACATTTGGACACGAATATCCATGCTGTCTGGGATTCACTTCGCTTCGAAGATTTGCGTCCCTTTGCCGACTCAGGATCCAAAGGTTCACTTGGATCCAATCGGCTTATTCCGCTCATTCCATAACATTATAGGATTGTTGCGGTGGTAGTGCCGGTAGTGTGAGCTCGGATCACTGGTTCACCCCGATTAAGATCCTTGGGTCGGCGCTCTACCTGTACTGGTCGGTTTTACCAAAGAAGTGAATACATGCGACCTCGGGCCTTCCACATTAAACTGACACGCCGTGGTAGACATGTACATGGAACACTAATCACAGTGGCGTCAGACAAAACAGAAGACAAGACCAAACCTGGTGCATACAGAATGTGACCCGTGAGGACCCGGGGTAGAATAGGTCTTCACCAACTCGTGCTTGCCACAGAAGGCGACTATGCCTGAATATTGCTGAACAACAAACAAAACAAACACAACCCGGGAAAACACCGGGATTCGATTGGCTCGCCAGACGATGTCATGTCATCGCGTTAAATATTCACCGGTGTTGTTCTGGTTCAACACATCATGACCACTCAGGTAGGTAGGGTTGTTATACTGCACCTGGCAGAACCTGTCCCCCAGTGACACAGGACAAAGGCTGCCGGGTGAGGACTTGAGGACGAACTGTTAGATATCCGTAATTCTTGAGGCAACGTCGTAAGTAAAAGGGCATTAAAAGTGTTCCTCTAATACGGATTGCTGGTCGAATCGCGCTGTTTAATCAGGGCCTATCCCTTGTCCTGTGCTTTAAAATGTGAATACGATGTTTGTCGGGTTACGATTGCTTTGTGAAACTGATACACATGATCTATTGACGTTTGCTTTCACACGAACTGCTGACGTATACACATGATCTATTGATGAATTCACACAAACTGCTGACGTGTTCACATGACCGACTGCAGTAATCACACAAACTGCGTACGTGTACACATGTTCTGCTGACGTAATCACACAATCTTATGACGTATTCTGTTGTCTGTTTACAGTTAATGGTGGATGGTCTGAGTGGACAAACTTCGGCTTCTGTCGAGCTGAAAGGTGTGAGAAGGGATTCCAGGTTCGATCCCGTGGTTGCAATCAGCCAAAACCAGTGCATGGAGGGAGGCCTTGTGACGGAGACCAGTATGAACGTATCGAATGCTTCAACGACCAAGGCTGCCCCAGTTAGTATACTATAAGGTCCAATACATTACACACGAGGTCCACTGTTTGTCACAGATGTTCATGTCTGTGAATCGCCTGTCTTACAATAGAAATGCAATCGACCGAAATCTGCGTGACAGTCGCCATGTTGTTTACGAACCGGATGTCGATTTCGTTACTCGATTTTGATTGGACTATGCATAGACTCGTTTAGTCAGCCAAAATATAATTAAGAAATTCCAGCCTAGTTCGGCAAGGGTGGAAACTGGACTTTTATAGTCATTTTACTCCCTTGCCTCGGAAAATGGGATTGCAACACTTAAGTATATTTGTTCATTTTATTAGGTCTTTCGAAAATGTCGATAGGGAAGCGCGATATTCGTGTTAACTATTAATTTTTTAGCTTGTCAGTATCCGACCATCGGAACGCAGACAATGGCGATGCAAGGTTTCACCCCTACCTCGAGTGGTTTCAGGGTAACAAGAACTAACCTGGTCATACAAGATTGGAAACAATATATCGTTTCAGCTGGAGATCGATCAATCGATGGGTTGGATTAAGTATACTCCCAACATGTGCTGGTCACTGGCTTCTGTAAGTCAGTCGAAGACTTTCAGGAATATTTAATTGACATTGACTGTAGCTGAGAAATAACGGGGTTTTGTTGGATGAATTATATTGGATCCAAAACAATCTTAAAATGAACCCAAAGCCATTTTAACTTTGAAGATGAACCTATTACTGAAATTGGCGACACTGGATTCGTTTCAAGTGGGGTAATGAGACGTATCAAAATCTCATCCTTTACTGATGTTGTGGATCGTAGACAGGTACAGCTTTGGTCTTACTTTGAAATATAATGCACCACAAGCCATTTCATTTCGCTCATTTCCTTATCCTAGAAAAACAGATGATCTGAATCACGTCATTTGAACGCCAATTCCTGTGTCTGGCCCTGGTAAAGGAATAAATATTTGATACGGCGAGAAAATAACGAGCTTCCTTTTACGTCTTTAAGCCGTTTTTTAACTATTTTTTTCATATACTACACAAACGAAGTTAAAGAAGACCCGACTCTTTCATATTACTATAGTAAATAAAAGAATCTGGTGTTCTTTAACTTCTTTTGAGTAGTATATGTTCCAATTTAACATTTCTGTCTTGGAATCAATGTGGATATGATATAAACGTGTTTGAATTCTATCCGATGGTTGTAAACTAAATTTTATAGATTTTGGTGCAACATTTCGGTCTTGGCATAAATCCCCGATAGCATGCAGGGTTAAAGTGTAACATAGTAATTTTGATTCAAGAGTTTTACGGGACAATATATTATTTTCGATAAAATCGTAGCCCACTCACCTTAGTTGATTGCGTCACCGTAACCCGTCGGCGTGGGTTGTTGTTCATACTATCAATCACTAGTTTGTCTGGTTCAAACTCGATTATTTGCAGATCGCCCCCATATACATTTGTAGCTGACATCGTGTTTAAAACAACGTTCAGTCTCTCAAGTGGCACACATGTTGTTAGCAGTAGTGGTAGTGGCAAGGGGCGTTTTGGAAGCCCTTATGGAACCAGGGCAAGATGGTCTTTGTGATGAAGAGCTATCTTTTCTGAAAAATCTTGAAATGTGCAATGTATGGTTCCAGGGAATGGTACGTGGTGCGAGTGGAGTCAGTGGTCCAAGTGTACAGCAACGTGTAAGTTGGAGGCCGCCCTCCGGGTGAGACAGAGGGAGTGCAAGTGCCCCGCCCCTAGGAGTGGGGGTGCCGAGTGTGATGGTAAGTGTTGTTTGTTTGTTTGTTTGTTTGTTGTTTACGCCGCACTCGGCTATATGACGGCGTCTGTACATAATCGAATCTGGACCAGACAACCCAGTGATTGACGTCATGAGCATCGATCCACACACCTGGGATACGATGACATGCATCAACCTAGTCAGCGAGCCTGAGCACCCACTCCCGTTAGTCGCCTCTTCCGACAAGCATCGGATCAAGATCAGTTCTAACCCGGATCTTCACGGGTGGTGAAGGTATAAGTTACATTATGGAGTGTTGCTCATGCTATCGATTACTGGATTGTCTGGTCCAGACTCAATTATTTACAGACCGCCGTCACATAGCTGGAAAATTCATGACTTCGGTGTTTAATAACACATTCGCTAAATGTACTTTATGTTCTGTCGATGGAGTGACGTCATGTTGCATCGGGCAAATGATAACCCTAACCCTTTACTTTGTTACAAGACCCGTGAAGCTCCGGGTTAGAACAGGTCTTCAGCAACATGCTTGTCGCAAAAGGCGACAAACGGGATCGGGTGGTCAGGGTCACTGACTTGGTTGATGCATGTCATCGTATCCAGTTGCGTGGACCGATGCACATGATGTCAATCACCTGATTGTCTGGTCCAGACTCGATTATTTACAGACCGCCGTCATATAGCTGGAATATTGCTGAGTGCGGCGTTAAACCACAAAGAATGAAACAAACCTTTGGAATAATGGCGATAAATTGATGCGATTGATCAATAAATAAGATCTATACAAATGCTGTTTCGAGATACAGTTCCACGTGTGTCGGGTACCTGTGTGGGGAGACCGGGGCGAGTCTAGGTGTACGGTCGGACTACACGTATAGTGTAGCATCGTACCCCAGAATAGTTGTTGAACAGTCCAACACTGGTTGAATACTTTCAGGCCGTCGTAATATGTCTGTAATATACCCGACTGCACCATACAAATATACTACTGACTTTCAAATCGGTACCCGTGAATTCCCTGGACTGAAGACCAAGTGGTACAAGCTCACCGCGCAGAGAAGCAGGGTTCGATTCCCAACATACGTCATATCAAAAGACGTTAAAAAGTAGTACTTGTCGTTGCCTGACGCTCGGCATCAAGGGGCTAAAACAAGGACTGGTCGGATCGGAGTCAGTTTTCTGTGTCTGAGTTGGGTATTCATGTTAAACTGCAGCATGGTGTCTCAGTGAGCTAGCACTATAAAAATCGGCATTAGTCTGGACTAGTACAAGCAGCCGCACACACACACACACACACACGTGTGCATGCACGTCACTATATAACTGAAGTAATCTGAAAAGCGACGTTGAACCCCATTTCGCCACCTCGCCTCGTACAGCAGGCGGTCTAAACCTCCCCGTTAATGTCAGCCTGAACTAAACATCCCACCACGTTCACTACATGTACCGCGGAGACGCAATGTGTGTGTAAGAAGGGATCAAGAATTTATGTCTCAACACTGCCTGAGGACAAGCGAGAATTATCTTGAAACACCGGCCGCCACACTGGCTGTTGAAAACTGATCTCATTAAGATTTTTTTACTTGCGTAGATGTATTTCGTATGATTTAAAAAAACCTATACGCAACTAACACAGAATAAATGAGTTTAGAAGAAGACTTTTTGCCATATTTAACTTTAACGGTCACCTCGTGTCTCAGGAAAGGATTCAGCACAAAAGTTTTAGGCTTGACAGATTGAAAAAGTTGGCGTCCCCGATGGAGAGTCGGATTAATCACTGCGCGAGTGCGGCTGTGTCCTGGACGGTAATTAACGTTGTCGGCTAGTCGGTTCTCTGGAGATTTCGCCCCATTCGCGGTCCCTTTGACACTCACTCAACATCACATGTCCTTGACAGACTGGAAAAACACGAAGTACGACTGGGACAGATGCTCAAACATTCACAAACTTTCTCTTTGACTTCAGAATTGTAGATTTGCTTTGATGTTTATTTTCCTTTATCGTTGATTGAGATTTATAAAATCGGTACAAAAGATTACAAAATTGACGAAAAAGGCAAATTATTTCAATTTTGGTAATTAATTCACTTCGAAGGGACCCCGAAGCAGGTGTCCCCCAGGATGTGGTCATTTTGCATCGCGATGGTTTTTACACTTGCCCAATAAAGGTTAAGCGGGGAGATGGACCGGATATGTGTTTGAACAGTATTTCAGTTATGTCACGGCGGTTTAGTTTTGATTTGGGATACTAGTCACGATATGTCTGAAATACTGCCGTTTTTATTTTAAATTTAAAAGTCACTCTAGTTTCGAAGTGAAGCCCGAAGTGATGCAGGTCTTCGACGTCTACCACCTTGGCGAAATCCCCAAACACGGAATGTCCTGTCAATCGGGGCAGACCTGGGATTCGAACCGAAATCTGTCAATGTACAGTGACTTAATTTTAACAATACTTGTCTTGTTTATGACACTTAATTATACACCTGTTGTGAGTGTCCTTCGGAGAAACTGGCAGGCATCGTCTCAGTGCTACGACTGTCGTAAGCCAATGTTAAAGTATGGGAGTTACGACCGTCTTAGCACTACGACTGTCGTACGCCTGTGTTAAAGTATGGGAGTTACGATCACCTTAGTGCTATGACTTTCATAAGCCTAGCATGTTAAAGTATGTGAGTTACGATCACCTTAGTGCTACGACTGTCGTAAGCCAATGTTAAAGTATGGGAGTTACGATCATCTTAGCACTACGACTGTCGTAAGCATATGTTAAAGTATATGAGTTACGATCACCTTAGTGCTATGACTGTCGTAAGCCTATGTTAAAGTATGGGAGTTACGATCGTCTTAGTACTACAAATATCGTAACCCTATGTTAAAGTATGAAGCCTATTTTACAGTATGGGAGTTACGATCATGTTAGCACTACGACTGTCGTAAGCATATGTTAAGGGTTTGTGAGTTACGATCGTCTTAGTGCTAATATGGCTTTTTGGAACGTAGCCCGCTTTACAAAGCGATCTTAGTACTGCGGGTTTCATGGGTGTAGTAAATCCTATTCTGTAATAGAGACTTAAGTCGCTTTGTTGAACGGGCCCTGGAGGGTGGTATCGTTCACTCATCCTTGCTGGTAAATGACACGACTGTAGCATTGTAGATATTATATATACCAACGGAAAAAAGTAACTGTGCATCACATAAAGAGATGTGCATGTTATGCTGTGGAAGATAATAACATAACTTTTGGTCATTTGTCATTGACAAATCCATTGACACAACCCATACATGGTGACAGGAGAGAGTGAGTGAGTGAGTGAGTTGGGTTTAACGCCACTTTTAACAGTATTCCAGTTATATCGCGGCGTGTCAGCTTAATGTTGGAGGAAAGCCCGAAGTGATGCAGGTCTGAGACGTTTACCAGTTCGGTGAAACCCACGAGCACGGGTATGGTGCTGACAAACCTAGAAACATAATCGGGGCGAACCGGGATTCGGACCCACAATCATAGGTTTATGGCGTGCCCAAGGGACGCAACTCTGCACAGCGAATCGCGGCGCCTTAGACGACTGGACGGTGACAGGAGAGAGCGAGACGCCCTAAAAGTGGGTTGCGGGTGGGGGTGGGGGTGGGCGTGGGGGTGGGGTGTAACAACTCAATGAACAATGTCAATACCAGGTGTGACCACCATTTGCGTGATACAGTCGAGGCAGCGGCGGCGCAGTGATTGGGGATGTTGTTCCAAATGTCAACCAAATATTGGCCCAACTGAACCCGGCTGGTTCTTGTCTTGTCGTAGGCGTCGTTCCGTTTAACCCCTGATATGTTCTACGGGGAGAGGTCTGAAGAAACAGCCGGCCATAGCAGTACATCAGTGTTACGCTATGTGAGCCTGACGGTGATGTCGAAGCAAATTTGAGCGTATTGCTGTACGTCGGGGACGGGTGCTGTGCTCCCTTAACCAGTTGCGTGCGGTTCTGCAACAACCGAATATGGTTGTTTTTGTTGATTTCACACGTGGACGACCGGCCCGTGGCAAGTCATGAGTGTTGCCCTGCTGTAACGTCTCCAAAGAGATGATATTGTTTTTCAGAAATATTAAAATGCCTGACGCATACCCACGGCGGGTAGACGTGGTTTTACAGCAAGCTGTGTCGTTGTTGCCTATGCGTTATTTAGGGTCAAGCTCAAACATTCTATGAGTACGTGATACCTAAACATTCAATGTGTGCTGTTCACATTACAAAGGGGGCACGGGTGGCCCAGTCGTCTAAGGCGCCGCGATTCGCTGTGCAGAGTTGCGTCCCGTGGACACGCCAGAAACCTATGATTGTGGGTTCGAATCCCAGTTCGCCCCGATTATGTTTCTAGGTTTGTCAGCACCATACCCGTGCTCGTGGGTTTCACCGAAGTGGTAAACGTCTGAGACCTGCATCACTTTGGGCTTTCCTCCCACAGTAAGCTGACACGCCGTGATATAACTTGAATACTGTTAAAAGTGGCGTTAAACCCAACTCACTCACTCACTCACTCACATTACAAAAACACGTGTGTGGGTATCATACTCCCAACAAACAGGAACACGTCCAAATTGAGAGCCCTGCATGAACACACACGTGCAAATTATGTTTCACGACCTTACAATCGAGATGTCTTCATGAATGCAAGTATGTATTGAAATTTATTTTAATGAACTTTATATGAAGTGTTTTCCGTTTGTGTAGTAAGACGCAAACCTAGTTCAAGTGTTTAACTGATGATGTTCCGGTGTTCCAGGTGAAGGCATAACCGTCAAGACATGTGATGACCTGCCGTCCTGCAAACTACCACGTAAGACCACCAGATTATATATTCTGCCCAGTCGGGATTCCGAGTCTCCGGTCCCTAGCAATCTGTGCTGTTTGTTTGTTTGTTGTTTAACGACGCACTCAGGATTATTCCAGCTGTATGACGGCGGTCTGTAAATAATCGAGTCTGGACCAGACAATCCAGTGATTTACATCATGAGCATCGATCTACGCAACTGGGATACGATGACATGCATCAACCAAGTCAGCGAGCCTGACCATCCGATCCCGTGAGTCACCTCTTACGACAAGCATAGACGCCTTTTACGACAAGCTTTGGTTGCTGGAAACCTATTCTACCCCGGAATTTCCCAGGGGACAAGCATTGGTTGGTGAAGACCTATTCTACCCCGGATCTTCACGGGTCGCAACCTATGCTGGTCGTACGAGGCGACCTAATGGACCGGGTGGTCAGACTTAGTTGATTGCCTGTCATTGTACCCCGAAGGCGTGGATCGTTGCTCACAATATCAGTCACTGGATTGCCCCGGCCCCCATCATATAGCTGTAATATGGCTGAGAGCGGCGTTACACAACAAACACATATATTGAAACTACGCAAGTCATGACAGCTTCACTAATATATCAATGTTTTTTATGCGTATTTGAAGTATTTGATGTAATAGGACAAATCCGATTTAACTGGACACTTATTTGTTCAAGACGATGTAACTTTGTAGTAGCGATAGCGGCACTATGATCTGATATAAGTACTCCGCATTTCTCGAACTATGGACAACTCGATGTCCCCCAGGACAGAGTTGAGGTTTTACAGGCCAATAGACCGCCAACGGGAAGAGGAACAGAATCTGAAATAATAAATATACAAGTTGAACGTGGCCTACTAGAAATGCGTCTATTTCTTCCCTGTCCGGTGTAGTTCCCTCCAAAAGGTCGGACACTGAAGCTGGCGGGGGCGGGGATCTCGAAGGGGGAAGCTCCGGTGACGGGGAGGAGGGAGATGAAGAGGAACAGGTAGGTGGAGATGTCCCTTATGTTGCAGTGAACCCCGAGGACAGAGGCCACTGCTATAAAGCTGGAATATACTGACTGCGGCTTAAACAATAATGCCATCTACCGCTTCCATGTCTTATTATTGCCGCGAATAGATGTCATTCGTGGTTGGGCAATATTCTCTCGCTCGTTGATGGTATTTGTGGAGATCATTCCTATTAATCGCCACCAAAGGCCAAGGTCCAAACAAAGTGGTATTGTTTAAACGTGTTTTCTGGAACCTGTGGGGTAACGCATTGTCCTAAACTCAACTACCTGTGAAGGATGTTGTCTTAAATATATGTCATCTTGTACACCTATATATGCTTATATACGTGATGTTGCTGGAATATTGCTAAACCCAACAAACGCACATGTATTGCAGGAGGATAGTGAAGACTACCCGGATCACACGGTGATGGAGGCCAATTAACAGGCGAGCGAGTAGGGGGCAGCAAAGGTATGTTCTTTGTTCTTCTATATTTATGCAGACCCGTTAGAACGGGTTGGGTGGTCAGGCTCGGTGACATGGTTGATTGGGTGTCATTGTACCCCGACGGTGTGGAGCGTTGTCTTTTTATATTTCGGTAAATGTAGGCCAACGACCCGTTTTTTTGCATTTGAATACATTACCTGCAATATATTTATAAAATGGAGGAGGACCGCCTCCGTGGTCTAGTGGTAGAGCGTCCGCCCGGAGAGCGGAAGGTCCGGGGTTCGATCCCCTGCCGCGTCATACCAAAAGACGCTAAAAGATGGTACTTGTTGTTACACTGTTTGGCGCTCGGCATTAAGGGGCTAAAACAAGGACTGGTCGGCTCGGAGCCAGTATACTGTGTCTGAGTGGGGTATTCATGTTAAACTGCGGCATGGTATCTCAGTGAGCTAGCACTATAAATCGGCATCAGTCCGGACTAGTACAAGCAGCCACACAAACACATACACGTACATGTACGTCGCTATATAAGTGCAATAATCTTGGACGCGACGTTAAACCCCATTTCACATCACCTCACCTAAAATGGAGGATGTATACGTTGTGCCATCATAATTTTTTAAGAACCGTTTCTTGTGGCTGGATTGTTAGTGTGTAATAGAACAATTATTTCCAGTTGACCAAGACTCTCACTCTCACACAACACATTACATATTACAAACTGTATGGGGCAAGAATATCACTGTTATATTTAAAGAATTCAGCAATTAATTAATCATTGCCTTGTGATTTACAACATTTCAAGGTATTGATATCACCGATAACTTGGTCCCGTGATATTGGAGTCTCATATATTATTTTACGTTCCATACCAGTTATCACAAAAATCCATGTTAACAGTCGTCAGTATCATATTTATAAAAAGAGTCATGTTTGGTTAATGTCTAATCACCATACGCGCTTACTACTTGGAAGGCAGGATGAAATCTTTCTACAAATATATTCAACATCTCTTTTTATCACGGAGAATATTTGTGTAGGTATTTCTTGCTTTCAGATAAGGATGCCAGTTATCAGCGTTCTTGCAATGTCTATACACTGAGGCATCGTTCTGTCACATCTGTAATAACTGCATTCAAGCCGGTGGTTTTGAAGCACGGGCCAATAAAATCTCTTAAATCGTTCCTCATAATATGAATGACTGGATTATATACAGGCCTTCATACAGCTGGAATATCGCAGAGTGCGGCGTTGAACATTTTCAAATAAACTTTAGTATCGATTATGAGAGCAGTAATAGTAGTCACACGTTTGAAGAAACAGTACTTAACATGCTTTGTTTATAGTTTCAGATGAGGTCGGTGATTGGCCCCAGCAGTTGATGACTAAAACAAGTCCATCCATTTCTTTCGCTTACTTTGTCAATCTCCAGTCGGATACTAGTCTCTCCAAATTGTTGGCCGTTTATTTGGCGCTGGACTACAGTGAGATATTTTGTTCATTTTGCAAGGCGCATGTAAAATAGTCCGTGTGTAGGACGATGGTTTCACGCTTAGTACAAAATTAATATTGTGCCTTTCCAGTGTAATAAGATTGTAGTTTTTGTAATTTACATATCTAGCCGTGTGGTCATGGAGTGCTTGTGTAGCTACAATGTTTATTTATAATGTATCACTATCTTCAACATACCATTCCACAACGTGATCAGAGAACTTTGCACTTCCGCTTTTACAAAAATTAACCTATTCATATGAAGCGGTTTCATCCCATCAGTAAATGGTAATGATTTAATAAACGGAACATTCTAAAGACACTCCACTTCCACGTTGTCATCCTGCTCATCGTTGAGGTTTTCATATAAAATTTGTCACATCGGTCTTAACGTGTCTCCTTCTGTTAATCCTAACACATGACATAACCGTGGATCTCCAACATTCATCGAGCGGGAACTGGCCGTCTTGGCTCGTCAGCGGTCAGGACTTTATGAAAATTATGAGCACTATTCATACATAAATAGACCCGTGAAGATCCGGGGTAGAGAAGGTCTTCAGCAGCCCATGCTTGTCGTAAAAGGCGACTATGCTTGTCGTAAGAGGCGACTTAACGGGATCAGGTGGTCAGGTTCGCTGACTTGGTTAAAGCATGTCATCGTATCCCTATTGTAAGGATCGATGAGCATGTTGTCAATCTCTGGATTGTCTGATCCAGACTCGATTATTTGGTTACCGCCGTCATATAGCTGGAATATTGCTGAGTGCGGCGTTAAACAACAAACAAACATATATAAATCAGTATGCTCATATATATGAGTGAGTCGGGTTTAACGCCGCTTTTAACAGTATTCCAGTTATATCACGGCGTGTCAGCTTAATGTGGGAGGAAAGCTCGAAGTGATGCAGGTCTCCGATGTATACCACTTCGGTGAAACCCACGAGCACGGGTGTGGTGCTGACAAACCTAGAAACAAAATCGAGGCGAACCGGATTCGAACCCACAATCATAGGTTTCTGGAGTGTCCAAGGGACGCAACTCTGCAGAGCAAATTGGATTGGACCACCCGTGTCCCCATACAATCGTGGAGCACCAACATTCATCAAGCGGGATCTGGTCGTCTTCACTCGTCAGCGGTCTGGGTATTACGCAAATGATATTCAGAAATCAGAAAGTATTCGGCATGCTCATATACAATGTAATTAATGATTTCTGATGTGAATATTGTTCGAGCATTGTTGCCAAACAAGTGACTGTTGCTGAACGCGCAATCAACTGTATCACTGGCCTGGACTTTATGAAGTCTGGGCAGGCGCACCAGTGGTTGATAGAATGAGCAATGGGACACGCAATCCATCAAGTCAAGAGCCCAGACACGTGACCCATTTCAGTCTTCTCAAAGTCGGGTGTTCCGCTGAAGATTGTGAGGGGCAGACCCAGATATCTCCTTGGGCAATTGACTTTTGTACTTTGGTAACCGGTAGGATGAGATGGCAATGTGGTTAACCTTCTAGCGCCTAACAGCTTGAGTTGTATACTCCCGAGGGAGTTGAGAATGTTTGAGTGCACACTGATCCGGTGGGCGGAGTAAAAGTAGCGCTTTGAGCATGCCACTGAGTGGTGTGGGAATATGCGCAATATAAATAGCCTATTTTTTTAATTATTATTATAGATGTAAAGTATTGGACTTCGTTCACAAGAAGCTCACGCGAACATTGTATGCTAACCGTCTGGGGCGCCGCAGTCAATAGTTCAACTTACAGTGCATCACCCTGGTTTACTGGAGATGCGAGGCTTTACGGTCCAGTCAGGAACAGAGCCCTGCTGGTTCGGGTGGGGTTCAACGAGGCTTCAGCCAGTCAATGCAGGTTTGAATTGAGGTGGGATCACACAGCAATGTTCCAGCTACACCCCGACCGTCTGTATGTAACCGAGTCTGGACCACACAATCCAGAGATTGACCCGAACAACTGGCTACAATGACGGTCCATTTCGTTACCTCCTACGACAACCATGGGTTGTTGGGGGCCTCTACGCTAACCCGGAATCCCCACGGGTGCCGGACCAATGGCAGTACTAACCTCGCCTACTGACGAACAGGTCAACGATTACTCCAACAACAGACAGTGTACAACACCAACACGCCTGACACACAACACGGATTCCCTAGCGGCGGTCTTGTCTGGGATTTTCTCAAAAAAATATACTGTCCTCAAATTCTTGAAAAAAAACCCATTTTGCTTCAGACTGTTGAAAAAAAAATGCGCCTGCTACAAAAAATACACTTGCTTAAAAAAGTTTATCTGGTTTTGTAGCTGAAACAATAATCTTATCTTATACCAACTCCCAGCACCACCCTCCTCCCCCCATCCCACACCGAATGTTCAAATGCGTACTACCCCTGGGGATCTATATGCTTGCCTGCACAGATACGTAATGAGATCTGCATATAATTGTAGATTCGCAAAAACTCATTTCACTGCACGAATTCATGCAGCTCTTTGTTGAAAATGAACAGGTTTATATGTCTCTACAGTTCCTATATACTACCGACAAAAATAAGGGAACTTATAATTTATATGAAGCTATCGTTGAGGTGTACATTCACAACAATACCATGGCGTTACATCTGAAAGCAACATCTTTTGTTTGTTTGTTGTTTAACGCCGCACTCAGCAATATTCCAGTTATATGACGGCGGTCTGTAAATAATCGAGTCCACTGATTGATATCATGAGCATCGATCCACACAATTGGGATACGATGATATGCATCGACCAAGTCAGCGAGCCTGACCACCCGATTCCGTTAGTCGCCTCTTACGACAAGCATAGTCGCCTTTTTACGGCAAGAATGGGTTGCCGAAGACCTATTCTACCCCGGATCTTCACGGATCGAACGCAACATCTAATCACAATGAAATTTCACATCATGCACGAACAGCCAAAATACGTCTGTTGCAGATTTCACAATCACTGTAGAGCAATTGAGTTAATCACACCCTTAAAAATGCCTCCTCGATGAACAGACAAAAAGGCGAATGTGGGGAACGATAGCAGAGGGACATACGTAAATGTCCCAAGTTGCCTGAATGTTTGGCATATCAAAAAGTGTAATTTGTCGACTGTGAGACAAGTACCGCCACACGGGAGGGGTTGCGATGAAGCATGACATAGAGAACATTGTCTCATTACATTAATTTCCCAACGCAATAGTTTCAAATCCGCTCCTGTTTTCAATAGAGAAATCCGGAAGAGGAAGGCGAATTTCAACATCTGCCGTTAAAAAACGGCTCCTTGCTGTGAACAAGGCGTCCTGTGAAGGGTGTGACCCTAACAGCTGACCATAGGCGGAAAGATTGGGGTGGGTCAGGCAACACCAGGGACGGACTGAGCGCCAGTAGCGTTACACCATGTTCACAGACGAATCAAGGTCTTTGCCTCTCATTCACAGATGGCGGAAACATCACTTCCGTGCCCCGGTCGTCACCGATTATATCCGACGAGAAGGCATACGGACATTGGACTGGCCCGCTAAGTCCCTTGGGGTCCCCAATAGAGCACCTGTTGGATGTTCTGGGGCGGAGGGTGTACGCCAGATACCCAGCACCTGCACTTATGGCGGGCAATACTAACGACATCCATACACATGTCAAGTTAATCAACAGTATGCCATCAAGTGTCGTGCATGTATCGCCCAACTTGGACACCCCGGATATTGATCTAAACAATTAATCTTACAAACATTTATCTCCATTACACCTCCACGTTAATTAAATTACTTCCCTTATCTTTTGTCGGTTGTATATTGTATTTAAATTTCCGATGAGTGAGTGAGTATGGTTTTACGCCGCTTCTAGCAATATTCCAGCAATATCACGGCGGTGGACACCAGAAATGGGCTTCACACATTGTACCCATGTCGGGAATCGAACCCGGGTCTTTGGCGTGACGAGCGAACGCTTTAACCACAAGGCTACCCGACCGCCCCGAAACTGTCGATGAGTTCAATTACGTTTTTTTTTCTTAGTATTTATCCAAGTATGGTTTTGGAAAGTATTAATACTTAATGAGTTTAAGCTCAATGAAGCAGTCAAGTGAACAGTTTCCTGAACGGAAACAAACGTGCGGATGCATTTGAATCTATCATCCTACATGGTCCTACAACCTCAACTTATGCAACACTGTTAGTTCCACAACGAATGGTTAACGAATAACAATCTACATGATACCCTGCTTGTCGTTAGAGGCGACTAACGGGATCGGGTGGTCAGGCTCGCTGACTTGGTTGATGCATGTCATCGATCTCCAATTGCTTGGATCGATGCTCATGATGTCACTTACTGGATTGCCTGGTCCAGATTTGACTATTTACAGACCGTCGGCAAATAGCTGGAATATTGCCAAAAAAAACAAAACAAAAAACCCCAAAACCCAAAACAAAAACAACAACAAAAACCAAAAAAAAAGAAAAAAAAAGAAAAAAAAAAGTCATGAGAATATTGACGTCGACGTTGATTTCATGATTGGCGTCTCGCACGGATGCCGTAGATGCGTGGATGTCGTTGGACGGTCGTCGCAAATACGCCTCCGTTGCCAGGGATGGTATGGACTGAGTGAGTTGTCTGTGTCAAAGATGCGTGGGTAAAATCCACGTCATGACGAAGAGTTGTCATGGGTGGGCGGCCACAATGACGTGGTTGTTCTATTGATGACGTCGACTTGTGTGCCATGTGGTGATCACATGTACATTGTATTTACTTGCGACGTACTGGTTTAAGTATTCCTATGGCGTGCCATCTTCAGGTGTCAATGTTTGTTTGTTTGTTGTTTAACGCCGCACTCAGCAATATTCCAGCCATATGGCGACGGTCTGTAAATAATAGATTCTGGACCAGACAATCCAGTGATTGACATGAGCATCAATCCACGCAGTTGGTCAGGTGACAGTGATATGGGGTCGGATGTGTGGCGTTTTATAGAGGTCAGTTAAAGCATCTTCTCCCCAATATTCGATATTTCTTAGCAAAATCAGAGTCATTTGGCTGGTTGCGTTTCCTCGAACTTTTTCATAAACAATTTCAAATCCAAATATTCAAATAAAAAAGGTTGCAAGTGGCAAAAATCCACCTGGCAGTATCTTTTGCCTTTGAACATATTATCACATCCACTCCGTTTGGATTTCGGGCTTGAATAGGTCCCATGCAGCAATCCATTAGGTCGTAAGATTCAATTAAATCACATCGGTGACGTTCATTCTCTTGTCGGAGAGCTCCATTGTGTTTCGGTAATGGCGAGTTGTTCTCTGCCGCTGTTGCACGTGCTCCGTCGCGAGCTGATTTTCACAACGCTTGTTCTATGGCTCTTTAGAATGTTTTGTCATCGTGTAAGAGTAGGGATGTTTTTAAGTAGGATAATATCCTCGCTAAAATGTCCTGTGCTTCTTGTACAGGAGTGGAAACAATTACGACGGCGATGCCATATTTTTCTTCTTCGCCCCCGCAAACCAAACCTTCAAGCCATCCCTGTTGTATGGTTTGGCCAAAACTAGTTTCGGTTTTCAAGAAACGAACGAATAAACATGCTTTGCTAGCAAATGGTCATTTTTGTCTGGTTTTGGTGAAACCACATCGAAACCAATACTGGTTTGCAAGCGTCAAATTTTCTCTTTATATAATAGTTCAACGTGACGAGCACAAAAAGGATCACACTCACTTAAACATCCGACAAACGGTATATTCCTTCTGACTTCTGCGTTCTCGACACATGGTAGGGTGGGATTCTCACCCCACTGTTATCATAGCCCTTCGTTTCACAGAGTATCACAAGTCGGTGGACAGACACGTCCGAGGAGTTCACCGCGCACGTGCATCTGCTACGCATTACTCTTACGAGTGCATTCCCGCGATTGTCACGAATCAGTACTATTCAGTGAGTGAGTGAGAGTGAATGAGAGAGCGCGCGTATGGTTTTACGCCACTTTTAGCAATATTCCAGCAATATCACGTCGGCGGACACCAGAAATGGGCTTCACACCACGAAATGCTAATACACTTCCCTATAGAATGGTCAGTGAAAACACTGCAACCTTACAGAAACTAAATCGTCCTTAAGCTTAACTCAACAATGATGAACACAAACAGATACTCAACAATGTACTTTTCTTTATTTTCAACAGATACGAAATGATCATAAGCTCAAAGGTGAAATAATATTAACGCTATGCTACATGTACACTATGTTGACTAAAATATGTAAAACACTGTTCTGAAAGTGGAACTGAAATCTCTCTTCAAAAATACAAGTGATATGTCCAAATCGGAAAAGACAAAGATGTACCATAATCTCACTACATGTAGATTACTTCTGGAATGCTCTGTGATAAGAAGATATGTCATGAAAACAAGCAACACTACACCCTGAAAATAACATTCCACATTTTGTCGTCACAACTCATTGATGTTATTTCTATTTTGTCACACAGCACCCTGATTACTTATAACACACTGAGTTGTATAATCCCTTCTGAAGCTAAAAGCGAACCTTCACATTACTGCATGAGATACGCAGCGAACGTAATTGCACTAAATAGAGGTTCAATATTGATACCATTACTAATGGTTGAGGAAAGTGAGCGAATTGGATAAACACCAGTCAGCAATATTTTAGCTATATCAAAGACATTGCACTGTAGTTTGATATAAGTTAGAATGAGGACCTCATATAATGACTACTTTCATCGTTTAACCATTCCCAGTGGTAACCTGTCAGTCAGGATTCCTTGTTAGTACACCGGTACAAAGGAAGATAGGGCTAACTCACAGTGAATGCAATGTTTTTCAAATAAAAGGGTGGATAGCTTCATATAATCAAATAAGGTGTAATTTGGACTGTGGCGAACTCACAGATACGTGTCTTTTTGTGATAATTGAGTTAAACTAATTTATTTCCAGTTGCAGAGTGTAACAAACAAGATCACAAACATGAATATACAACCTGCTTGAAAAATGACAGCTTAAGGATACGGATAATAATATCCTGAAAAGAAAGGCCAGCAAGGAGAGTAACCAGAAACTAAGAAGATCCCAGTCAACAAGAGACTGTAGAAGAACGCACATGGGAATTTGACTTGTCAACAGTTGCACTGTATCAAGAGGGACACACAGACTAGTGTAAGCAGGGCTCGATTTAAGGAACTTGATCCAACTTGCAACTTGTATGTTGACATGAAAACCTAGTTGAAGCAAACAAAACCATGTTGCACCCTGGTTCTATATATTTATCAAAGTTGAAACATGGGCCGGTCCGCTGCCAGTGTCACTTAAATTAATGACGCATTTCTGTAAAACATAAAAGGAACGTGCACATAATCTTGAAGTACCTACCGTGTGAAGTCTAGGAAAACATGACAAATTACACGTAACAGGCATTAGTGATGTAGCATAGTAAATAAACTTTAGAAGTATTGAATGTGTTCGAAGATCGATTTTGTGCAGACAACTGAAGAAGAATTGAATGTGTTCAAAGATCGATTTTTTGTGGACAAGTAAGGGTTAGTCATACACAAATTAATTTTTATTTTTACATGCACTTTGTGATAGGCAGACATAAATATTTGGTTGCACTTTTCAAAAACAGGTTGCACTTGTGTGTGTGTTTTCATAGCTAAATCGAGCCCTGGTCGCCATACGACATGGGATGAACACAATGAAAAACATCACCAGGTTACACATGTATAAAAAACTAAAAACTGAAATACACAAAGCACCACTGCCAACACCAAGAAGTAGACAGCACAACACAATACTTGTTGATATGACGATACAAACGAGATGAAACATTGCAAAGAATATAAAACTATGCAGTTGGGTTATCATGATAATACTGATGTCAACTATGTGGATTCCTAGAAGACAATAAATACTACCGGTAATGGAAATAAATAGATGTGTTTATGCATTCAGCTGTAATGAAGACCTCTGTAGAAATATGACCCTTTGTATCAAATAGAGAAATATGAGTGGATTGTATGTAACCAGGCAGAACGCCAACAATATGTCTCTGGCTACAGTAACAAAGGTTGTTTTGAAACAGAGCTCTTAGAAACATTTGACAATCAACAAAAAACATAAATAGGTGATGTTCTACAAATATTGCATAAGTTTCTTTGACAGAATGGACTATCAATTTCAAGAACATTATGCAAAATTATGCTCTGCAATGGTCTGCTTGATTAGGTTTTCCCATAATGTACACAAGAGCAATAATTTATATATACAACCCAAGGGGAAATCAAGCTGGAACTCTTTACACTTTGATTTGAGAAATTGTGAAGATGAAATAATTCAGACAAGAATACTGAGCTAGCCTCTTCAATCCTTGCCGTGGATGTAGATCAAGAACAAAGAATAATATGATTGGATGCCATATACTGCCACAAGCCACACCAGAGCAATTGTTGGGGATACGAATCTATACACACGTACATGGGCCATACAAACATTCTTCAATGATGTGTCCAGGAGTCTATCATACTACCTGAGACACTAACAACAGAATGACGTACAATGCAAGCCATATCCTATGTTTTCACATGATGGCATCTCAAGTTGTGGAAGGAACAAAGATTTTTCAATTTATGTCATGATTATCAAATATCTCTACATTATCACATGGTTTACAAACATTTGATCAAATATCACATGGCATACTATGTACTATCAGCAGGATGTGATTGGTCAGCATCTTCCCGGGTCGGTGGAATGTTGTGCAACCACGGAATGCAACAAAGTCACTGGTAACAAGTTGACATCGGACCATATACATGTTACTGATAATGGACTCTGGCTATACATCATGAGATTCACTAAGTGAACCATTTGATAGTTTTTAATTATGAAACAAAAACAATATTGTCCATAAAGATCTTGATCATTTGTTAAAAAAGAGAAAACAGGTCTTGTTGGACTGCTTGCTTGATATTGGCTGCTCTGTACAAAGCCAAATAATGAGGGCTGAAACAACATACTTAAAATGAAACAAGATATTTATCAGAACTCTCGATCAGTCTGTGCCAGAAACATTTGCGCCTGCTAGCCCGAAAAAGTTTACTGGCCTTATTTTTACCATATATTAGTCTAAGTTTATAGACTACCATAAAGTGACCTTACTATACTTTGACTTTGGACTTGTGGCTCAAATTGCAGACTGCCCTATTTTGCAGTAAAAGAGGATTTCTAATTTTGTTGCAAAATGAAGAAAGCTTGTTTGGGCCTTACAATTTATATAAAAAATATAAAAGAGAAATTTCAGAAAATACTATATGAAGCCGAGAAAGCATCTCTTTGGGTTTAAGGTGCTGTGGAGGTAATGTTGCAAGAGTGAGTAATATCTTGACACTGGTACTCTCTAGAAGTGCCATGCACCCTGCGCTAGGAATATCTTTGATATGGATTTGACATAACATAAGGTTACCATGATGATCACATGTATAACCAGTTCAAACATTCATTTTGATTTAAGGGAGTCAAATATTTAGCTAGAGCACCAGGTTATGATGCCAACAATATTCTCAGAAAGTGGCAAGGTGAGATTATTCACATTATGGTGGGACAAAGGCAACGTCAAGAACACTACTTACATATTACTTACATTATTGCATAAACGTGATGGTTGTGAATTCCAACTTCAGTTATGACATACAGAGAATGAAACACGATTTTGTTGGCTGCTTACTGCCACTCTCAGCAATCTTTCCACTAGAATAAACAATAATGGATTAAAAGTGTTCTTTTCGACTACCATTTACTCTCTCCACACCGTGCTCTTTATAAGGAATGTCAAACCATTCAAGTGAAAAAGTAAATGATGCCCAGATTATCTGGACCTGCAGTGAGGCCTATATTCTGCCCAAAGTCTGCAACAAATGTCAGAAGGAACTCCCACATTTCACAACCGGAGAGACCAGTCAGCTGCAACACTCTCTCCATGTGTTGAAGGTCTCACATACTTGTCAAACTTTCACCTTTAAAAATATCAACTCATCTCGGTAACCAAAGTGCAATATAAAATAGAAGTTACCTCCCTTTGTTAAGTTGAAAGACAACACACACATTGTGAGCATTGGTGACACGAAATAATCAATGCAGTTCAAAAATATAACAATAATAATATAACAACATTTCAATAGGTGACCATCGCTGTTTCTGAAGACAAGGGGCATTTGTACAACCTTCAATAAAACAGGACACAACGTTTCCTTCACACTTATCAGAGTATTTATCACAATACACAGCACATGGTTGGAAGTCAACACTAGCCTGCTAGCATTGGGCTAGCTAAAATGTTCCAAATGTCTTTAGCTGGCACGGAAATGCTTTTGCATTTCCTTCTAACCCTGCAGTAAGACACACTAATCTTTACTCAAAAGAAACATTAAGCTTTGCTCTCATGTTGAAAAACATGTCACTTTGTTCACATACTGACAATTTGCGTGACCTTGCATTAACAATCTGCCATAAGTTTGTACATAAGCTGACAAAGGACTTTAGTTTGTACACTTGCTAAATATTAAGCTTGAAGCACTGCTTACAGTGTAATTCTCAGTACCTTTGCTCATAAGCTGGTGCATAGCCATAAACAGTTGATGCTGATAAGCATTGCTAAATGCAATACAGCACTATTAACACATGGGGGCACCTTTGAATCATATTGTTCGCAGGCAAGCACTAGACAAAGAGTGTGGCACAGATTCACAGACCTAGCCTAACACTGACTAGTGGTAATGGGCTAATGATAATGAAGTCATTTATTATATGACAAATGTTTACATCCAAAGGAAAACAAGCACTGAAACACAAAGAAGTCTTCCTACACAGTCACAGGTCATTGCTATATGTCTAGGCTTGGGGCACATGTGGAATTGATGAAATCATGTTTAAACATCATTGTCCGGGTTCAACCGCTGTGAAAGGAATACATAGCATTCCCATCCATTGTATTTTTGCACAAAACAAGGACAGCTCACAGAATGTACATTTAACATTGTTTGGAGTTTTGACCCAATCCATGGACAGCCCACACTGTTCACACATACCGTTGACGAAGCTTTGTCACAGTGCAAGGATGTCTACACAATGTACACATATTGTTGATGAATCTTTGTCAAAGTGCAAGGATGTCTACACAATGTACACATATCGTTGACGAAGCTTCGTCACAGTGCAAGGATGTCTACACAATGTACACATATCGTTGATGAAGCTTCGTCACAGTGCAAGGATGTCTACACAATGTACACATATCGTTGACGAAGCTTCGTCATAGTGCAAGGAGGGAGCACTGTGAGAGTTGTGCCCCAGTTTATGAGAGAGAATAGCCCTGTGTGTATGGTAAGGTCTAATCAATTTGTCAGGTACATTCAATTGATATTGTTGACATTACAAAAAGCTGAATTTTATACGTATTTACAATCTGGCACACGTCTTCTGAGGCAAGGGAGATTACTCACTACAAAAGTCAAGTTTCCATCTAGGCGAACTAGGCTTGAATTTTATGGCTTGATTGTTCTGATACTAGTGGCTTTTTCAAGTTATGTCCCTCCTATTGGCCAATCAGATTCCACCTATCATATCACTTGCATTGACTTGAAACAATTTGGTGGCTCCTAGTCAAAAAGTTCTGATCGATAAACAGGATCTTTATTGTGATCAAATGGATCTTACCTCACGAAGTGCACTTGAGCATGCTGCTCAAAAAAGAGAGAAAGATTTGGAAATTATCTGTCGATGCACATTTGACAATAAAAATGCTCTGTATATCCTGCAGTCGCCCAAAATCTGCACAGAAGTTGCCATGCTGTTTATAAGCCGGATGTCTATTTCGTAACATTTTGATTGGACTATGCATAGACTTGTTAGTCCAGCCAAAATATAACTCCATAATTCGGGCAAGGGTGGAAACCGGACTCTTGTAGTTTCGAGAAGTTGTCCGGCACATAGAACTTGAAGAAAATAAACTGAACATAGATTACAGTCAAATCTGAAACCTGGGGGAAATTTTTTGTCACTTGTCACATGTTCACTGTACAGTACAGTATGTTACTAGTGTGTGACCAACAGATTTTCCAGGCTGTAACATCGAGGTATGGACCTAACAGCTGGCAGTCAAAGGTTGGTGATGACTTGGGAAACGAGATGGTGGAGGGTGGCTGGTCAAGATGTGAGATATTGCTGAATGAAGGCTTTAGGCTGGATGTAGACAACATGGCGCGTTCCATCAGTTACTTCTAATGTTTTGTCAGGTTTTTCTGAAAACAACACAATTAATACACTATGCAAGAAATAACACGATTAGAGAGCTTTATTGTGTGTCAGAGGAAATTAGATGTAACAGCATTATCTTTTTGTATGCCTAAATGAACATATACTTGGCTTGCATGTTAATATGACTATTATAATGTAATAATGAAGAGACATAACTTTCACAATTGGCAATTTACTTCCAATATTACTGAGTGTATGATTGCAACCAAAATCATCAATAGAGAGCAATAATAATTTCTCATTAGACCATTTATATATTCTCCTGTGCCTCAAGTGTACAAATCAGTCAGTTCTCATCCAGAAAATGCAACTTCCATTATCAAAAACAATTCCTTGCTCACAATAAAACATTGTCAGTGCCTACCTGAGACCACAAGGCTAAGTCGGAGCAGAGGGAACTCCTTCTGGCGGAACTTGGCCACACACAGGCCGAGGCTGTAGGCGCTGCGCATGTAGCGATCACACTCACACTGGGAGACCAGCCTCACTATGCCACGCTTCCTGAAGGTGGAGATCAAGGCCAAAGTCTTGTGTACCTCACACTGCTCTGAGTCCGCTCCTCTGTAAAAGTACAGGCCATATACTTAATGCTGGCAGAGTAACACAGTGGAAATCACCTATTTTTCATATGTTGCGAGTGTGACACTGTACAAGTCAACTAGTGTTCATGTTGCCAGTGTAACTCAGTACAAGTCACCTAGAGTTCATGTTGCCAGTGTGACACTGTACAAGTCACCTAGAGTTCATGTTGCCAGTGTAACACTGTACAAGTCACCTAGAGTTCATGTTGCCAGTGTAACACTGTACAAGTCATCTAGTGTTCATGTTGCCAGTGTGACACTGTACAAGTCAACTAGTGTTCATGTTGCCAGTGTAACACTGTACAAGTCACCTCGAGTTCATGTAGCCAGTGTAACACTGTACAAGTCACCTAGTGTTCATGTTGCCAGTGTGACACTGTACAAGTCACCTAGTGTTCATGTTGCCAGTGTAACACAGTACAAGTCATCTAGTGTTCACATGTTGTGATTGATCACACTTTGGGGCAGAGGCACTGCCAGAGCAGTCCAGAGTGTTTACCTTGTTTTAGCCAACAGCATGATGACACTGGAGTGGACAAGCATCAGCCACTTCTTCCCAGACCGACACAGAGCATACATGCCAGACAGGATGTCGTCCAGATCACCTGGGACACACAGTACACACTATCAATCAACTCATTTAACTTGTTTCTTGTTTTGGCACATGCGTCATTATACAGTAAACTTGATGTCTGACAGTCGAAATGCTTATAAGGAACTACGGTTATAACAAACTACAATTAGTGGTCCTTTCAAGGTCGTTATTACCATAGTTTACTGCATATGTAATTAGTGAGACTGTGGTCTGCCAAAGTGAACAATATCCTTATAATATATTGGCTGTTAGAATGTGGAATACAGAAATGTCGGCACATATATACTACTTGATCGATATCTTCCATTTACTTCTGGTTTTGGCAAATTGATGTAATGCCCTTGTCTGATCACATTCCTACCTGGTTTTCCCTGAAGAAGGAAGTCATCATCAGCATTGACAATGCCACCCTCAGTGACACCACCGCGGGGTCCCCTGGGACTGTCAGGCAAAGACTCGTATACCTGCTTCTGAACATCTGCAAACTGCCGGAGCACCGTCCTCTCCCCCTGACTCAGAGTACACTGCAGACTCTCTGGCATGGGCACTTCATCACAGTAAGTGTAGTACATGCTGGACAGGTCCAGCCCTGGCTCCAGGTCAGCATCAGGTCTTCTCTCATGCAGGTCGTGTGTGAAATCATTCAAGTTGTCAATGCAGGATTTGAGATGATCTTGAAGCCTTTCTCTAAACTCTGGCACATGGACATCTATTTCTACTGATCTGAGACCCAGGTCATCATTGTCTGAGATATCTTCAAGATATTGATCAAATTTGGAAAGTTCTTTCAAAGATGTAACTGCCTCTGTTTCAGATACTTGGCCTAACACCTGTATAGGTTTGCTTTTGAGATCCCTGTTTGTGATAGGAGAAACACAAGGGCCACCGGTTTGATGTGAAGAGCTACCATCATCTCTTGGCATACCAGAATCAACAACACTTTCATCTGCACAATAACCAGTGACAGTTGGAGAAACTGTTTGTTGGAGCAGCTGACGGGCTTTCTGCTGTTGCAGCATGGCAACATGTTCCACATCAACAGGAGGCTCCCTCAGAGGTGGGGTGTAAGTCCTGGACGACACATCTCTTTGTGTGGACGTGAACTCTGTGGGAGAGGTTATCACTGAAGGATATGGTTGTGGCTGGCCCTGATACGAATATAAATTAACACCCAGTGATGCATTGACATTCCATGGCAGACCAGAGGCGCTGGACAAGTTGGAGACTGGGTACGGCAAGGAACTATGTGCATAGCTGAGTGGAGAAACGGACTGAGGATACATAACACAGGTCTGTTGAATGGCCTGCTGGTTATATTGTTGAACCTGAGGCCACAAATGCATCATACGAGGATTAAAGTATACCCGGTTTCTTTGTTCAGGGAGCTGAAAGGCTGTCCCTGGTTGTAATGTTGGCTTGATGTCAGGTCTTTCTCCAACCAAATCTAGCTTGTTCATTGTGTGAGTTTGATCCGAGTTGCTCAGGTGAGTGCTCATCTCTGCGGAGGGTCTTAAAGTCGGTATAAACTGTGGTATCTGGCAACCAACAGCTGGGGTGAGGGATTCGTTTTGCTGGATAGGACTATACCTCGAGTCTCTAGCACACATGCCACCAATTGTAGGAATCCTTTTTCCCATTTTTAACACATCAGTTGTATCTAAGTCTTTAGGAGCTTCCTGGGATTCACCATCACCCGAAAGAGACTTGACACACCCTTCAACTTCATTTTCCGAATCTGTAGAATCTTCTACCACTATAATCTGGGACATAACACTTTCTACCAAAGGCTCAACATCTTTGTAGTATTTATTCAATTCAAATAGATCACATTTAGAAGGTGAAAGATTGTGACTGCTGGATGACTTATGTGGCACAATATCTAGGTATTTTGCTTCCTGTGTCCTCTGCTCTTCTTCTGGGTGTATCTTAGTAACCATGACACACGATGTAGAGATGTTCTGAGACTTGTCTGCTGCCGCAGTGAGGGCAATACTTGTCACAGACTGTTTTGCTGTATCTGAGGTTTTCACACTGGATGCTGTCCCAGTCTTGAGGCTTGAATTTTCACAATTCTGGAGCTTAGCTGAGTCCCTGCCTCTTACAGATGCTGCAATGTTCACAGTATTGTTGATGTTTTGCTCTGCGCTGGCTTTCACAGATGGTTTGATTGCTTGATAAGGGTAAGTCTGGTCCATAATCCTACCAAATGAAACTGATTCACCTGCCTCACATGCGTTGCTATCAGTTTCTCTTTGGCCTCGATAAGATTGGCCTGGGTTTTCTTCAGAACATTGCAGGACTTTGTTGCTTTCAGATCTCCTTTTCTTATTTACAGGATGCTCACAATCTCTTGCTAACAATGACTGTGTTTCATGATCAAAATATTCCAATGTTAAATTGCGAAGGATGGCATCCCCAGAGCTCTGAAGTCCTTTCATTGCACCATTCATCAGTCTGACTACTGCCTCTGTAGCATGTTGAGAATTAGCAGTTTGACTATCACAGAGAAGCTCCTGAGCAGATGTATTGCAGTCTACTTGGAATGTTGTACGAGGCACTGAACATGCTAGATCCTGAGAGGATGTGGGCTGCATTACCTGAGGTGAGTAATGTTCCGAGGTTGATCCTAAAGTCTGAGGTACCGCTGTTCCTTCACTGGAATGATACTTAGTTGGAGGGGGAATACTAAATGATTCCATCTTTCTTTTTCCTGATGCAGGTACATTTTGGTGGATTATTGTGGAATGTTGCTTCTGTGGTAGTTCTTCTAGAGTCTTTGCTGCACAGGCAGGAGCCGAGATGCTGTATCTTCTGAGATGCAAAGAATCTACTTCTATGGAATGATCAGTTTCATTAGCAACTGAATGTAAACTGTTACACCTTGGGTATTTCAACTTACTAACACAAATAGGTATATTCTGTTCATATTGCTCAAAATTCGCTTCAGTTTCTCTTCCAGGTCTGTCGTTGGCACTTTCTTTCATTTTTGACACCACTTCTAGTTCAGGCAAATAATAGCCACTGTCCCCAATATCTGACTTACTCGTCTTGGACTTTCCAGATTTATGCAAAAAGGATCTGTGTTCAGTTTGTAAATGTGTTTCAGGGTCTATTTTGGGTCTGTATAGAGATGTGTTTTGTTCATCGTGTGGCTCTGTGTGTTCAGGGCTCGGAGGTCTCTCTGCAGACTTCAAGGAGCTTGTGAGACCAAGCTGAATACGTCTCGCCTGAGCTGCACATGTTATCTGTTCAGCAAGAGTGGGAGCAAACAGTTCCCTCTCTAGCATGGAGTTCACTGCTGGTTTCCTGTCTGGCTTGACTTTGTGTAGTTGGCTCCTCATGTGTTGCTGAGTTTGTTCCTTGTCCCTCTTCTGCAGGATGGCCTTGTTTCTCCTTGGATCTGATGAAGGGCTGTCATGAAGCTCAAGAAGATGGTAGTTGCCAAGCTGAGGGTTACGCTCATATTCTGAAAGCAAATGAGACACATGTTGTCATAGTAACCATAAACAATCAATTCATATATTCATTTTCACTATATCATGTACAAACCATAGTAAATTAATATCAGAATGTCAGATTCTTCTTGAAAAGGTTTTTTTTCCCCCGGACAAGCTACATTTGACTGTGTGATTGAGTGAGTTGGGTTTTAACAAAGCTTTGAACAGTATTCCAGTTATATCCCAGCATGTCAGCTTAATGTGGGAGCACGGATATGGTACTGACAAACCTAGACACATAAAAGGGGCCAACCAGGACTTGAAGCCATGGTCATAGGTTTCTAGCATGCCCAAGTGATGCTTATTTCGACACCTAAGACACCTGAGCTCCCCCATACATGTCCCCCGTGAATTAAAGAAGTATTATAAATAAATGTTACTTTTAAATTGATGCTGTGAATCAGGATAGTTTTGATATGCAGAGAGTGTCAACGGACATTCACCTACTTAAATGGTATTATTTGCGGTACATTTTTTCTTTTTGTGCTTACATTGGACTTGACTGACTTACTGAAATCCCTCCAGGGGTCAAAGGTGAAGGGGAAGAGCACATGGTCCCATCTGTTGAACCGGTCCGGATGGGGACCTGTTGCACGGTGAACTTTCTTCTTCTTTGCTGCACATCAAAACATTTTCAAATTTATATATCTGCATGAGGACAACATTTGAGCAAGCTTTTAACCTCAATATTCAATAGGACTTATAAAGTTGCGTAAACGTATTTAACAAGCAACTCTTTTCATAGTTTGCTTTTCTTAGAATATTCAATGGGACATATCTCATAATTAGGGTTGTAACCAATAACAACCCTCAACAGGGTTAGAAAAATTAACTTGTCACTTAACAATCACTTTAGAGTTCATATCTACTCAATGGTACAAGTCTTGGACTAGCTCAAGTGTACCATTTTTTCAGTATTCTAAATGACATTATACAATGTGGCTAAAATGAGTGTGAAGATTCACCTTGTTCCCTACGTTTGGTCTTGTTTGATGATGCTTTCTTTTTTCTGTTTCCATTACCGTGCAAGTCTTCATCCCCTGAGTTGATCAAAGTAGGACAAGACAGCATTTCATTTTCTCCACTCAACTGTTTGGTGAAAGTCTTCAGCTTCGGTGACAGGCCTTCTTCAGCTGTTGTATGTCTCGGGAAGGGGGCTGGCATATCAAAATCAGGGGAGCAAGGTTGAGACAAGGACTCACTTGTTGAGTCTTGAATTGCAATATCAACTGGATCAACCTGTCCAAGAAAGGATGTCAGCTTCTGGTCAATGACAATATTGTGTGATTGGGTTATAGGCTGTTCAAATTCATGATCAGCTTTTGAATTATGCTCAGTGTCATGTTTGGCTTTTGGTTTTTGAGTTTCTAGATAGCTGTTTAATTCCTCCAGCATCTCAGCAGCCTCGTTCTTCCTCCTAGCCACATCTTCTCTGCGGTCTTTCTTAACAGCAGCACCAGCAGTCTTTCCTTCATCTTTGAAAGAGTCTGATTCGCTACCTGTGTGAGCTGTCAAACCACAAGCAGCACTTTCACTAATCGGCAAGGTTTTCAAGACTGCAGGAACAGCAAGATCAAGTCCAGTTTGGGATGTCCACATATCCTGGAACACTGCAAATGACCTTTTTCTTGCAGAATGAGTATCAGGTACAGACAAGCTTCTTCCAAACACACCAGAATATTTCTCACTACAAGAATTGTTTCCTTTCAGAGGACTGTCCATTGTACTGCTAATCTGAGATTGTCCATCAACCTGATATTGTGCTTCATGTTCACTGTCACTCATGTCCATTGGCGCCTCCTGCAGGTCATCATGACCTTGTGAGGACATCTTCATCTCAATACTTCTGGCAATTACTTCCGAGTCTGGTATCACAGCTTGATTCAATTCTGTACATGTGACACTATCAGGGGTTTTCACTGTATCAAGCTGGTGAGGATCTTCAGGCAGGGTGCTGCTCAAAAGTGCCTTTGAAGTTACTGGTGCTGAGACATTGGGCAGGCATTCATCTGTCTGTGTGACAGGTAGCACTGGTTTTAAAGGCACCACATTTCTTCTGGCGAGTCGTGGATCGCGTGGTCTCATCACTGAATGTGCAGCCTCCACATGTGAATCCCTATCCAGACTTCTTGTGTTGTTTCCCTCTGACATGATATGGTCATCAGTAAAGTTGATTTGCTGTACGCCTAAATCTTGTTTGGACTTGATGGAATCGGTCTCAAATGACCATTCTAACTGATCAAAGAATCCATCAACCGCAGGCTCAACTGTCTCAGGTGCAGCTGCCAGAGAGTGACAGCCTACAATCTTTATTCTAAGGTCATCAGTATCTTCCTGATTTCCTCCTTCAGTGGGAGGCCGTACCTCTTGCAGTTCCTCGGGACTGTATGGACCGGCATGATCAGGTCTCTTCTCAGAGGCAGCAATATTGTCCAAGATTTCGCTGGCAGGCAGTGGTACCTCCCCAGATATGTCAGCAGCAGTGCTGTGAATTGCTTGTCCAGCTGGCAGCTGGGGAGATCCTTCTGTGCTTTGACACACATCACGGCTGATCCCAGACTGGAACATGATAGAGACTAAGTGTTATACATGGCCAATGTGTCTGTTTTTTTATTTTTTAATGCCACACTACGCAATATTTCTGCTTTATGATGACAACCTGTAAATAATTGTTAAATGTAACAAAGGTTATATTTGTGATAACACTTTTTTAGTAAAGTATAGATTCTAGTACATGGAAGCCTCGGTGGCTGAGTGGGTTAGATCGCCGACTTTGTGTGCTGGCTATTAGGTGCCTCACTCTGGCAGTGTGGGTTCGAATCCCGGTCGGGACTCAACCCCAAAAAGTATGAGAATCTGTACTTTACTAAGAAACCGTTATCCCAAATATAACATTTGACTACTTTCGAAATGGCATTGTGTGTTCAGTTGTTAAATGGCAGTGAAATATATTGTTAAACAATGATTGTAACTGTATTACATTGTTTCTGTTGAGATTCAGTAGAAGTTCACTGTATTGTATTTGGACAATGATTAGTTGTACTATTAGTATGTACTAATATTTAATGTAAGCAGTGGTGAGGAAGTTATTATATTTCGATGCTAGTGTGATGTGTAAACATCCAGAACAGGGTGGACTGATGTGGAGTGTTAGAGAATGTTCAGGAAGATGTTTGGGCTATTTCAGTGGAAACACAAGAAATTAGGAAAAAAATATATTGACAAATATGAAAAGGCAATGGTTGAGCATGTAGTCATTGCACATGTATAGTTTCATGGATATATTGAGTTTATATAGTTTCATCAAAATATTCATAAGTTTGAGAGTTATGGCTTGGAAATAAAGTTGTTTGTCCAAAATGTTTCCATGGAAACAAAAAAATAATAATTTAATTTTGAAAAATTTCAAAATAGCAAAAGGCACAAGTTGAAACTATGAGCAATGCATATGCCAAGTTATGTTGAAATGAGTCAAACGCTTTTCAACTTATGGCCCGGAAACGAACACTGCCATCATGTGATTAAGTCAAAATTGTTTGGATGCAAACATTACAAAATAAAATTTTGAAACACTTTAAATAGCAAAAGGCACCAGTCAAACTGATGAGGAATCCATATGTGAAGTTTCGTTGAAAAATATTGAATAGTTTTCAAGGTATGGATCGGAATAGGATGGCAACGGCGACAGGAACTGAGCCAAAAACAATAGGCCTTCTCTCCCTTTGTATGTGGGGAGGGGCAGACAGGTGTGTGAGAAAAATAACTTGGAATCAAGAGGGATTAAGTCTGCCTACCTCCTGTGAATCATAAGACTGCTTCTCCATGTCAAAGGTTGCTGATATTTCCGGCTGTGAATCTCCTCCTCCTTCCATGAAGAACTCGTCCAACATGTCGGCCTGCTGTGCCCTTCTCTCAAACTCAGGGATGTTGTCGGATGTGAAGTCACTTTCCTTTTCAACTGGTCTGTTTGATCTAAAATGTGTAGAAGAAAGACTATAGGGTGTGACCACTCATAATATACACTTGTATGTACCCAGCGTGCAGTCACCTGTGCTACAACCAATCATTACCTACAAACGGACACGGACACCTAAATATGTTGTTACCTTAGTCAGCTCTTCGTTATCACTCAGTCCCATCTCTCCTCTCTGTTCAGGCTTCTCTCCTATTAACCCTACTGGCTTTATCATCATGTTGTTATCTTTGTACATTAATACTACATTGTTTAAACATATCAGCATGTGTATATTAACGGGACTCAATAGCTCACACAGTTATCACCTGATGAAGGGGCAAGAGATAGCCCTGAAACTTTGTTACTAACAACAAACAAGTTGCTTCCATAAACGTTTCATGTCTTCCATGTTCTTCCAACTTCTAGTGAGTGAGTTGGGTTTGACACCGCTTTTAACAGTATTCCAGTTATATCACAGGGTGTCAGCTTCATGTGGGAGGAAAGCCCGAAGTGATGCAGGTCTTAGACCTTCCAACTTCTAGTGAGTGAGTTGGGTTTAACACCGCTTTTAACAGTATTCCAGTTATATCACAGGGTGTCAGCTTAATGTTGGAGGAAAGCCCGAAGTGATGCAGGTCTTAGACCTTCCAACTTCTAGTGAGTGAGTTGGGTTTAACACCGCTTTTAACAGTATTCCAGTTATATCACAGGGTGTCAGCTTAATGTTGGAGGAAAGCCCGAAGTGATGCAGGTCTTAGACCTTCCAACTTCTAAATGCCTATCAGTCTTATATGACAAAGATGGACAATAGGGCTAGGACCAGTCCAAATACACTTCCCGGGTACCCGCTGTAGGTATCATGACTTGGGTACAAAATGTCCGATTAGGAATTGTTTCACTGAAGCCCAGGCAAAAACTTCTTAGAATCAAGAATAAGAATGATCTGATAATAAATACACTGCAGTTGGCTGACTTTTTTTGTCTTTACTCAAACATTTAAAAGTCAGAAGGAATGCGTGCAGTCAGAAAGAAATGCTAACATTAGCAAGTTGTAGTGTAACCATTGTGTTCTATTGTCACTAACAACATATCATGTGGCTAAAGACAGGTCCAGGTAGTCCTGTGGGTACCTGAGTTACCCGTCCCAGCCCTGAGGGATATTGATATGTATGCTAATCCGGGTAGTCCTGTGGGTACCTGAGTTACCCGTCCCAGCCCTGAGGGATATTGATATGTATGCTAATCCGGGTAGTCCTGTGGGTACCTGAGTTACCCGTCCCAGCCCTAAGGGATATTGATATTTATGCTGATCCGGGTAGTCCTGTGGGTACCTGAGTTACCCGTCCCAGCCCTGAGGGATATTGATATTTATGCTGATCCGGGTAGTCCTGTGGGTACCTGAGTTACCCGTCCCAGCCCTGAGGGATATTGATATTTATGCTGATCCGGGTAGTCCTGTGGGTACCTGAGTTACCCGTCCCAGCCCTGAGGGATATTGATATTTATGCTGATCCGGGTAGTCCTGTGGGTACCTAAGTTACCCGTGCCAGCCCTAAGGGATATTGATTTTAATGCTGTTCCGGGTAGACCTGTGGGTACCTAAGTTACCCGTCCCAGCCAAGTGATACTGATATTTATGCTGATGGAACAACACAAGTGACACAGAGACCTAGCAGAAGGCTGTTTACTCCCAGGGTATTGTGACCCCTCGAATCTAGTCACAAAATTAAACTTCCAAATGATAATCATGATGAACAATATGTGACATAAAATAACTGCTTTCCTATATGCTGATATACCCTTTCCCTTAATACCTTGAAGATAAAAGTTAAACGTTAAGTTAATACTTTAACATTAACACATAAATCTAGTTATTAGTATCACAAATGTTAATATGTCTGCAATACCAGGTTCATCTTCTGTTGTTTAATGCTGCACTCAGCAACATTCCAGCAAAATGACTTGTTTGTTTGTTTGTTGTGTAACACCACACTCAGCAATATTCAAGCTACATGGCCGTGGTCTTTAAATAATCGAGTCTACATCAGACAATCCAGTGATTGATATCATGAGCATCAATCCATGTAATTGGGATACAATGACATGCATAAACCAAGTCAGCGAGCATGACCACCCGATCCCGTTAGTCGCCTTTTACAGGTGAGGTGAGGTGAAATTGGGTTTAACGTCGCGTCCAAGATTATTGCACTTATATAGCGACGTGCATGCACGTGTATGTGTGTGTGTGGCTGCTTGTACTAGTCTGGACTGATGCCGATTTATAGTGCTAGCTCACTGAGATACCATGCCGCAGTTTAACATGAATACCCCACTCAGACACAGTATACTGACTCCGAGCCAACCAGTCCTTGTTTTAGCCCCTTAATGCCGAGCGCCAGACAGGGTAACAACAAGTACAATCTTTTAACGTCTTTTTGTATGACGCGGCCCGGGATCGAACCCTGGACCTTCCGCTCTCCGGGCGGACGCTCTACCACAAGACCACGGAGGCGGTCCGCCTTTACAGCAAGCATGAGTTGCTGAGGACATTCTAGCTTCGATTTTCACAGCAATCCAGCTATATGAGGACAGACTGTAAATAATCCAGTCTGGACCAGAAAATAGATTGCCTGATATTATGAGTAATTGTCCACTCAATCAACGATGACCGTCAGTCATCCAAGTCTGGCCCCCTGATCCATAGGATGCCTCTTACAACAACAATAGGCAGCTGGGAACCATTTCCAGTCCCTACCGAACAGGGTTCAATGCAATATGTTCTTTATTCATCATAATGTTGCATCAGTTTCCCACCTATCCTGTTTCATGGGCGAAGGTGGCACAGGATTCCTGAAGAACATGTAGTCAGAGAAGCGAGGTTGCTGCCTGAAGTTGTGATGCAGGCCAAAGCTCCAGGATTCCTTCAGGCGCTTCCATTTCAGGCCAGTTGAAGTTAGGTCACTAAGCAGCTCGTCAATGTCGCTGAAAACACCATCACATCATTAACAGGCCTGTACACTAGTTTCGGGAGCAACATGTTTTGAGAAATTTGTATTTCATAATCTATCTTGTCATAATGCCCAAAAGAAATGCAAAAGTAGTAAAATTTTATATATCTGACAGAGTTTTGCCGACATACATACAAAATTAATACCAACAAGAGTCATCAGAAAGATGACATATCCCCCCCCGGCAGCTGTCTGTAAAGTAACCACTAGTAAATGTGCAATTCTGTATGTAATGAGTCAACAGTTGAATGTTCTTTTAGAAGCATACATTGTTTACCCACTGAATGGTTTTCGAATTCTGGCCCGGAAACGAACCCGTTCCCCAATGGAGTCTAGGTCCAACTTCTTTCCATAAAAATTGTAAAAAAATATAAATTCGTAAAAAAATAAATATCAAAAGGCATCACTTCAGTATGTGCCTGATAGCTTTGCCAAGTTTCGATCAAATACACTGAATGGTTTTCGAATTCTGCCCTGGAAACGAACCCCATCCCCAATTGAGTCTATGTCCAACTTCATTCCATAAAAATTGAAAAAAAATAAAAATTAGAAAAATCCCAAAATATCAAAAGGCACCACTTCAGTATGTGCCTGATAGCTTTGCCAAGTTTCGATCAAATACACTGAATGGTTTTCGAATTCTGCCCCGGAAACGAACCCCATCCCCAATTGAGTCTATGTCCAACTTCATTCCATAAAAATTTAAAAAAATAAAAATTAGAAAAATCCCAAAATATCAAAAGGCACCACTTCAGTATGTGCCTGATAGCTTTGCCAAGTTTCGATCAAATACACTGAATTGTTTTCGAATTCTGCCCCGGAAAAGGAAATGATTACGGACGGACAGACAGACTGGCTGACCGCTATATATCCCCGCATTATATGCCGGGGGGATAAAAATGAATTGGTCACTATGGCATGGATTGGGAGCGATTTGTGTGGAAAGAATGTGGTATTGCAGGAATTTGGTGAAACATTGTAAAGACAAAACCACTGCAACATGCAACTTGTTGGGCTATACAAACGTTGGCTTTTCATTTGCATGCCATCACAATCTTACAGCAAAACATGCTACGACTGACGGAAGCCCAACGCAACAACTATACATGCATATCAGCCAACTGCAAACAGGAGAATCATCTTTAGCTGTAGCTAGGTTTTTGCACGTAGCAGCACCAAGCACCAGCACAGGACTGTGGAACCATTATCATACACACTGGACAATACGTGACCTTCCCACAGAATCAAACTGCTATGTCACTTACGTGAAAGAACCACCACGGCCACCTCTACTACGACAATACCATGATTGCATAGGACATCAGCCCAGACAGTGAGGAACCATTTAGGAACTCAAGGTATTCACACTAGATGACCAGTTCTAGGTGTCATCTGATGGACCTACATTGTCTGCGCCGTCAATAGTGTCATGGTTACAGAGTATGGCCACAACTGCGATGGAAACAAGTTTGGTATAGTAACGAGTCATGTTTAATGCTTCGCTGTGCGGATGGTAGACGTCGTGTTTACAGGCATTGCAGGGAGAACGTTATGCACGAAACTTCATATAGCAATCCAGATTTAAACCCAATCAAACAATTATCAGATGCACTGGATCAATGACTGCAAGCACATCAGCAACAACCACTGGCAGGCAGAGTGGGTGAACATTCCCAACAATTCGGAATCTGATTGCTTCCACGGGACGACGGTGCCAGTCAGTTTTGAACTCTGATGATGGCCGTACAAGATATTGAGAGCAGATGACCTTTACCTTGAAAATCTACTGTTCCATGTGTGCCATTTGGAACCTGGGTCAATGACAATGATGTGCACCAATTTTGAACAATTGATTACCATCTGTTGATTACTTGTATGATATTTAAAATATATATCAAAAATCACTTTTGCATTTCTTTTTGTGTGCAGAGTATATATGCAGTGAAATACTATTTCTTGAACCAGTTATTGTGGAGGGCTTTATCTATTTGATTGACCTTATAACTCTAAAGGATGTTTTTGCTTGGACTCGAGTCATTCAGTTGGAATACTGATTCATATTACTGGTTGTCAAACATTTGCACCTTCTGAAGAATACTCAAATTGATACACGTTCATTCAAAAAAACAACTGAAAACATGTGATTAACATTTTATAGGTCATAGCCAGTTTGGTGACTGCATCAGTCATTTGCTGCAGACAACTCCTGGACTCTCGGACACATCACCGAGGCTATCAACTTACCTTACTCCAATGTTGAAGGAAGCCATTGGTTTCCTCTTCCCTGTCATCTTGTAGGGGTGGAACTGTCGACTGTGCCTGTCTTCTGTGATCTGAGCCATGTTGAGGTTCCTCACTGGGTGTCGTCCAGGGGGCTGGAATGGCAGGGACAAAGTTACATGGCAGGAGACCTGTGAAGATTCGGTTAGAATAGTTCTTCAGCAACCCATTCTTGTCGTAAAAGGCGACTATACTTGTCGTAAAAGGCGACTATACTTGTCGTAAGAGGCGACTAGCGGGATCGGGTGGTCAGACTTGCTGACTTGCTTGAAGTAGGTCATTGATCCCAATTGCATGGATTGTGCTCAAGATGTCAATCACTGGATTGTCTGGACCAGACTTGATTATTTACAGACCGCTGTCATATAGTTGGAATATTGCTGAGTGCGGCGTAAAACAACAAACTAAACCAAACCAAAACATGGCAGGACTAGCTACCAGAGGCTGTCCAACTTGTCATTAGTTAGTTTGTTGTGTAATGCTACACCAAGCAATATTCCCACGTCCATGTTGTCGGCTCTTATGACAAGCAACAGCTGCTGGCGACCACTCCAACTAGAATCAACTTGTCGAACTAGCAAATGATGTTTCACCAACAGAAATAGGATGGTTTAACATGGCAGCAAATAAATTAGCACCAGACAGCAGTTAATAGAATGAGCATCAATCCCAGCTGTCAGAAGCTGTAACATACGCAACAAGCAGGTTGATAAACTGTCATTGCATGTGACCACATTAGGGAATATTCCAGCTGTACGACCGTAGCCTGTAAATAATTGCATCTGGATCAGACAACCCAGTGATCAATATCGTGAGCAATGATACACGCTGTCAGGGTAAGCAACCAGGACAGAGAGCCTGTCAACACATTCCATTTGATCGCCTCTTACGACAAGCAGAAGTTGCTGGCGACCTATTCTAACTCAGCTTCCATACTGGGAGAGTGTTTGGTTATGGTGGACCTGCATGTACAGAGAGAGAATGGAGGAGTAAATTGTAGCACAATAACCGTCTTAACTCTTCAACATTGTGTCCAACTCTGTGAATCAACATCAGTGTGTATGCACTCAAACTACACAAACAGACTTGCTAGAACAGCCATTCTTTCCACATAATACACTGCAAGCCAGAACCATCTGTATCAATGGAGATAAAGAAACATAAAACAGCTACTGTGAACAAACGCATTGGATGAATAGGTTTTTGGGACTACCTGTCTCAATGACATGCCACCAGCAGAACATGTTTCTGGTTCAGTGAATCACTGTGCCCCATTTCATTTTCATTGCCAATGTTAAAGCTACGACTATTGTAATTCCTATTCCTTAAGAAGGAGTTATAACAGTCATAGAGCGAAGAGAATCGTAACTCCTACTCTTTAACAGTCTTATGACAGGAGGATGATCATTTTATGAAACAATGCCCAGATCAACTGATAGCAACCACATCAGGATTAGTTTCTGGAGGAGCAAGATTACACTGTATCTGCGACATATTGCCATCACAATACTTACTCCATCCATGGTATTCTGACTGTTCTTGTCTCCACTGACAGGCTTGTCATCAGTCATCCTCTTGTCACTGTTGCTGCTATTGCTTCTGGAATGATTAACTTTGGCTCGGTTTTCCAATCTTGGATCCCCACTGGGTCGTCTTTCACAGGTGCTTTGTGCTGCCTCATGTCCATCAGTTCTCGCCCTGTCGCTGTTGACCCTGTCAGTGTTGGACACGGTTGTGACAACTGAACGGAGGCTTACAGAATTTGTTTTAGAACATTCAACAGAACCATGCCTACTGTGTCTCTCCGATTCTTGTTCTGTTCGACAACCAGCATCAGATTTTTGTGCTTGTCTTGGCTTAACCTCACATACAGACTTGCCAGCTATTTCATTCTGTTTGTCTAGCAGAACCAGAGGCGAATGGTTTTTACTGTCCAAAGATTTCTGTAGATTCCTTACGGCTGTGTTGGGCAAAGCTGAACTGTTGCGACAAGAACCTGTATCCAACAGCTTGAAGGCTGGGGATATTCCAACACTTGTGTCCAGTTTCAGTGGCTGCAGTTTGGAGAGCTCCACCATTTCACTACTGTACAAACCAGGTATTTGGGGAAGGCAGGACTGTTTCAGTTTCTCAGCATACTTTTTCTCAAACAACAGTTGTGCTTTTGATTTTGGCTTGCCATCACCAAATTTGGTGGAATAACCAGCTCTTGGTTTAGGGACTTTAGATACCTTATCGGCAATGTCTGACATGCGGCATAGACTCTTATCAGTGAGCTTATCTTGCACATTTCTACTGGGTTTGGGTTTATCACTGTCGTTTTCCTGCATCCAGCGGCTTTTTCTAGTCTTTTCTCCTGATCTTGACCTAGTCTTGTCAGAAGACTTCTCTTTTGGATCACTATTTGTTTTTTGTCTGTCCTTGTCACTCTTCTTTGAAACGTTGTCAGCCATCTTAGACACACGTTTCAGTTGTTTCTCTAAGCTACTTTCCCTGGACTGGGAATCAAATTTGGAACTGGATCTTGAACTACCCGATGATCTGCTGGAATGTCTTGATCGCCCAGGCTCATTACTTCTTCCAATAGCATTACTGTGGTTGCGAGCTGTGTCTTTTCCTGAATCCTTACTCCTTTCACTAGTGTTTCTATGGTTACGATCTGTTTCTTTTCCTGATTCCTTACATCGTTCATTACTGTTACTATGGTTACGAACTGTCTCTTTTGCCAATTCCTTACTCCTTTCTCTGGTGTTACTATGGATATGATCTGTCTCTTTTCCAGATTCCTTACACCTTTCACTAGTGTTACTATGGTTTCGAACTGTCTCTTTCCCCGATTCCCTACATCTTTCAGTAGTGTTACTATGGTTATGAACTCTCTCTTTCCCCGATTTCCTACATAGTTCACTTGTGTTACTGTGCTTGTGTGATGTTTCTTTTCCCTTGTCTTCAACTGTCGCAGTGGTTCTTCTTTTCGATTTTCCCTGTTTAACATTGGTCTCCCTTGAATCTTTATCCAAACCTTTTGATTGACCCTTTGATTTCTTGCTCTCTGTATTTCCTCCTTTACTGAACTCACCACTCTTAGACCTAGATCTATGTTGCCTGCTTTTCTCTGGTGAGTTCCCTTTGGATGTAGTCTGAGATTCATGTTTTTCTTCATCTTTTCTTTCAGAAAAATTATCCATCACTTTTTCAGAAGTATCTTTTGTGTGACTTTCAGGATTGTCTTTGGTTGGTTTTGCATCTAAGCTACCACTTGAAGTTCTAGAATGTGACGGTGACCTAGATCTACTCGGTGACCTTGACATGAACTGCTGTGTTTTATCAGTTGCAGGAGACACCTCAACAGCATCTGTTACAAGCACCCCTTCCTCTTGTTTTTCAGTAACTTCATCAGATATATTCAGTTCATCACCGACAACAATGTTACGACTATCTTTGATGTTAGCATCTGGATCTAGATTAGGACTGTCCAGCATGTCCTGACTACTGCTGTCTTCCCCTAGCTTGTCACTGGAGTCGGCGGACCTCACATAACGGATGTCCTCTTCCTCTTCTTCTTGGTGCAAGACAGCCATGATGCTTTCTGAAAGACGTGAGCTGGGCACCTCTTGACTCAGCCTGCAACACATACCATACATGATTAAGCTGGAAGGGAATGCTTATAGGGATCATATATACTACAAAAATATTAAGGACCATTCGATTCTTTCATATTATAATAGTTAATCTGTCATATCAATATGAAAGAACTGAGTGGTCCTTAACATTTGTTTTAGTAGTATAGCTTGAATATTGCTGATTGTAGAGCAAACCACAAACAATCTTATGGAACAACTGACCCAACACTTGCAACAATGAATGTGGTATCAAAATTAATGGATAAAGGTCCCTCAGAATTGGATGGCTACTTTTTCTCAGAGGTCAATGACATCGGCAATCTGTAGCAATTTCAATTTTCAAGAATTCAAATCATGTGACAAATACATAAAAATACCAACTTGGACACTGAAACATATTCTTGAAAAGGTAGTAGAACAAACACTCTGAAGACCCCACTATGCACATACTGCAGAAGCTGTGAAGTCACTGAAGTGCATTGTGACTTGAGTATCTTATTGTGAGGTAACTCTTCCATGAATACTTGCAACATACAATGTATTGCCTCATGTACTGTGTCTCCTCCACTTACCCACCCACCCGCCATGTACTGTGTCTCTCCTCCACTTACCCACCCACCATGTACTGTGTCTCTCCTCCACTTACCCACCCACCATGTACTGTCTCTCCTCCACCCACCATGTACTGTGTCTCTCCTCCACTTACCAACCCACCATGTACTGTGTCTCTCCTCCACCCACCATGTACTGTGTCTCTTCTCCACTTACCCACCATGTACTGTGTCTCTCCTCCACCCACCATGTACTGTGTCTCTCCTCCACTTACCCACCCACCATGTACTGTGTCTGTCCTCCACTTACCCACCCACCATGTACTGTGTCTCCTCCACTTACCCACCCACCATGTACTGTGTCTCTCCTCCACTTACCCACCCACCATGTACTGTGTCTCCTACACTTACCCACCCACCATGCACTGTGTCTCCCTCCACTTACCCACCTACCATGCACTGTGTCTCCTTCACTTACCCACCTACCATGTACTGTGTCTCCTCCACTTACCCACCCACCATGCACTGTGTCTCTCCTCCACTTACCCACCCACCATGTACTGTGTCTCTCCTCCACTTACCCACCCACCATGTACTGTGTCTCCTCCACTTACCCACCATGCACTGTGTCTCCCTCCACTTACCCACCATGTACTGTGTCTCTCCTCCACTTACCCACCATGTACTGTGTCTCTCCTCCACTTACCCACCATGTACTGTGTCTCTCCTCCACTTACCCATCCACCATGTACTGTGTCTCTTCCACTTACCCATGCAGCATGTACTGTATTGCCTCCAACTTGCCAGGCTTAGGGACAGGAGCAGAATGCTGGTACGTGTTGACAATCTTCACTTCCGTCACATCAGCTGTCACTCGCACATGTCGAGGGGGAGAGAAAAGGGTTGCTGCGGAAAGGTTCTGAATAGCAAGATCGCTGTTCCTTCTCGACAGAGTCAAGAATCCAGGGGAGGGAGGCACAACAGGAGTCTCACAAGTTTTGGATGATGGTGTTTGTTGTGATTCCGGGCTTGCTAGTGTCTGTGTGTCAGTGACTGGAGAGGTAAAACTAGGCAAAGAATTGGGGGGTAAAGGTGAAGATGTGGATGATGAAGGTGTGTCTGGAGACCCTCCAGTGTCGGACCCAGAACTGCTGTGCTTACTCAGGATGGTCGGCAGGTGCTTGCTGTCAATCTCTCTAATGAAGGTTGGCAGGACTGAAATAAAAGTTCAAGATATGAAAGCCAACTATGTTTGTGGCCTGACTACAAAAAGTGTAAAGTCTGACGGAAATGTTATAGCTGAGAGACAGTAAGCACTGAAAAGCAGGATGTTAAAATTAGGCTTGTATACAATTCTTCTACTCCACATTATATTGAGAACCGTACCTATTCATGATATTAACATTATATATGTCCTTTTAAGCACAAAGCATTGTTCATATTTGTTATGACGGCACTATTAAAATAAGTAAAAACAACATGTTACTAAGAACCAATATATATATATACATATTATGATGGTGCTTTAAAGATGTCAGAAAGGTGAAATAGTGCAATAGTTTTCATATTTACGGTACACACACAATGAAATAGCTCAATTTTTAAGCTTACACCAATTTTCTGGAACCAATCTATGAATGTTTGTTCAAAACCCCTGAAACTAGTTAGAACAAAATATTTCTTCAAGACCCTGTAACCAAATACATTTATTCAACACTGGCAGTTATCCTGAGGAAGTTGATGCTATGTTTATAGGGAAGTACATATGCAGCATCTGCCTGCTGGAGTGTATTAGGTTGCTACACCAGCTGCAGAATACCTATATATGAAGTTTCAATACATATCTTACCGAGACGAATTTAGGGTGACAAAACTAAAAAAGAATGTCCCAACATTAAAAGGCCAAGACCAACACAAATGTAGAGGGAGAGATACCATTATTGCCCAGAACAAATAAGATGCATGTGGATCAGTAATGTGCAGTTGATGCTTGCTGTCTACTGCACCTGCCTGATGTCAGATGAAGACACTTCCACAAACATGTGATATCTGATGCTGACAAGGAATAGCCTACTTTCACCTGCCGTAGCTAACTGTGCCTGAAACTTGATCTTCTAGTCAGATTGTTTTCAGCAGGAATATGATTGACCAAATAGACACTAATTTGGTGAGATACTTTGACCAAAAGTAAGTTTACTAGCATTTACAAGTTTACAGACAAGTGGCAAAGTTAGTCAAAACTTGCCTGAATAATGAATAATGCATAAAGAGTTATTGCTAAACAAATTTTGTCCAAGCCCAAAGGACACCTTCCTTAGCATGGAGCAGGTTTACTTGTGCAAGTGCCTTGTATATATTCCCTGCTTCCTAAGCACCCATTAAGATAAGAAGATGTGATCCAAATAGCATGTGATCTATTGTGTGACAACATCATTGTCAAAGGCTTTTGCAACTTTCATAACTTTCATAGTTAAAGATGAGTTGACAGTACTACCAGATACCTATCTAGATTATTTCTCTGTCCTGCTACTTCTCTTCAGATGAGAAGAGGCTAGATGAAGCAAACATATTCTTTTATCAGTTCAAATATCACATGACACAACATACAGAACACAGGGAAGCTGTTTTCATATCCCCACGGAAAGATAGACATGTAGCTTAGTATACTGAATGAATTCCCATTACATGTTAAGTCTAAGGGCGATCACTGTGCATTATGGTGGGGCAGCCTAGTGGTTTAAGCATTTGCTCTTCATGCCGAAGACCCGGGTTCGATTCCCGACATGGGTACAATGTGTGATGCCCATTTCTGGTGTCCCCCGCCGTGATATTGCTGGAATATTGCTAAAAGCGGCGTAAAACCATACTCCCTCACTTTGCATTACGCTTCCTGCCTGCAAGGAGCTTGTTCAAAAATGCATGCTGGGAATGATAGAATACAGAGTCGAAAGCAAGAACACCAAGGTGTATATGTCCTGACAATATCATTTTTAAAATTATTTAAGACAAAGTAAATTATGGCAGCATGTGTTTGAATTAGGAGAAAAGAAATTATTCACAATAACTGAAAAAGCAACGTCAGCATAAATTTGTTCTATCCTCAGATGAGACGGATTGTCATTAACATTTGGGTAAAAATCATCTCCAAACGTCACTTGACTAATAAACCTTTGACCTGCACTTATAAGACACATTTCCTCACAAGATATGGGGTAACCATTTTGACAAATGTTATAAAACTCAACCCTAAAAGTTGGTATTTTCATTCATATCCTCAATAAATTTCAGATTAATTCCTGACAGTTTGTGGGTCAATATTATTATCTAGATTCTACAACATAGGCATGACAAGCAAATAAATATATTTCACCTTGGACAAAAGAAAAGTAAATTTTACATAACTGAAAATAAATTATACATTTTTACTGATAAAGAAAGACACAAAAACAAAAAAGAACATCAAAAGCACATTGACAACAACACGTAAGTACGAACATGAAAGAATTAAAACACAAAAAAACACTGGGAATTGCCCCAAACTTACCAGGACCAGAAGGTGAAAACAAAACAATAGAAACGTGGCTCAGTGAGGGTTACATAATGCATTGAATTATTCAAATGGCAGTAACTTCAATATTACTACTAACTGACTAACATACACCATGTTCCTTGAATACCAAGTTACTATCAAACAGAAGACGTTGAAGCACCTCATGGAGTTAATCTATCTCAACCTGTGTTATGCTTACAATGGTCTGGACAAGTTGGTTTTAGGCAAACTCGGCAGACACCATTGAACAGCTGAATTTATCGGCGGAATTCTTAAACTCAATGAATTTAATGTCATTTTAAAAAAATTTGATTTGTTACTTTTTTCAATACATGTGAGTTAGTGAAAGTTGTTTAATGCCGTAGTAAGCAATATTTCAGCTATTTATCGGGTCGGACTGTAAACACCAGGATTTGTCATACCAACGTGAGCAGGGCAGACAACTATTATCTGCACCCATAATGCATAAAATTCCCCAGCTGTCATCCTTAACAAGACTCCACACAGGATTTTATCACCAGTTTTCTTAGGAATAGAAAGAAGAAATTATCTGGGAAAATTGGTAATCGTATACGGACATAGAATGGCTTCTTAGCCAGTATTGTTGATCTGGCTCTTGGATTTGATCCAAATGCTGTCAACTATCATTCTTCAACTCCAGCACTATAGGTATTTGTGTTGGATATTTATTTCACATATCAAGGATGACAAGATGGGAAACACAAACTCGGATACAAATCAAGCAACATGGTGCATGTCAAATTGTAAGAAAAAGTATATCAGTTCAAACTATCTAGATAATATTTCTAAATGCAGCATGCACATTATGCTTCATGCAACAAGAGGCAAACCGTTATTGTCAAGCAGTTAACATGGTTAATATCAACATACAGGGCTGTTATGAACATTAATACACTATAAGGACAGGAATGCAACATCTTTAGGAAAATGAAAACACTACATTTATCATTATCATATTCAGAAACATAATATCTTAATCATGTTAGCAGATTTCAGTAATAGCAATGATGTGATGATTGTGAAAAAAGCATGATCAGGGCCTGTCGCTCAAAGCGATCTTAGCGGTACGACTATCGTAAGCCTATGTAAAGTATGGGAGTTACGATCATCTTAACGCTAAGCTCGCCTTGTGGAATGGGGCCCTGCTAAAATTGCTGGCTTGCGTGTCTCTTGCCTAGAAATGAGTCATAAATGTTGATATTCATATAAAATAGGCTATTGGGAACAATGTCCAGAAGTTGAACAACTCCATGCAATGCCATTAGTGTTCCTTAAACAAATGCAACAGCAAACATGTTAAAAAGGAAACAGGTTTTGTAAAAGGGCACCTGTGATGATGGTTGTCGGTGATTTAGTGTTGATGGCCTTTATCCATGACTTTATCTTACTTCGTTTGATTTTCTTGAGAATTGGACTTAAAAAGCTGTTAGAAAAACACTAATTAGTGCACACAAGAGTAGTTAGAACCGGGCACAACGGAACTTAGTCCATACAGACCTCACAATCATTTTTCATTTCTTCCTTGTTTGTATAGTATGTCATTTAATGCTAGGCTCGGCAATATTCCAGCTATATCACAGTGGCCTATAAATATTGGACCAGACAATCCACAGATTATTGTGAGCATCGTCACAGTACGATGTCACCAAGTCACCGAACCTGCTCCATTTGGTCGCCTCTTACGACAAGCATATTTTGCAGATATTTGTGTTATTAATAATCATATGTACAAGTACTAGCTGATCTTACTAAATCAAACAAAACAGACTAGACCCTGACTAGTGGCTCATGTCACAGACGGCTGTAAGACTTGAAGGAAGATCACAGACTAATTGAATAAGATTTCACATTTGACACTTGAGCAGAGAAGTACACAGTATCATGCATCAGTAGCATCGTCAAGGCGGTCAGATTCTCACAACGGCATGTGTCAAGCATTCATGGAGGGAAGTACATCGTAACAAAAGGACAAAATACTTCAACATTTTTTACACTGATAGTTAAAACAACAGGAGGAGCAGTTAACATTCACTGAATTATTGATGGTGAATACATTGTTTTTCAGTGTGTTCATAACTCTTCTATGAATTTTGGCGTTTTTAGATTATGCTTTGAATTGTGTTTGAAGAATGGCTGCAGTTTTCCCCATTCGTTTTTTGCAGAAATAAGTTTGGAGGTTCTATCATGTAGTTTGTTTGTTGTTTAACGCCGCACTCAGCAATATTCCAGCTATATGAGGCGGTCGGTAAAAAATCTAGTCTGGACCAGGCAATTCAGCGATTGATATCATATGCATCGATCCACGCATTTGGGATATGATGACATGCATCAACCAAGTCAGCGAGCCTGACCACCCGATCCCGTTAGTCGCCTTTTACGACAAGCATAGTCACCTTTTACGGCAAGCATGGGTTGCTGAAGACCTGTTCCACCCCGGATCTTCACGGAAATTCTTTCATGTGGAAAACAAAGAGTGTATAGTTGAGACAGTTGAAAATTGTGCTTGAACAAATCTTCATTGCAAGTGTCATGTCCTATCTGGTGAGGCCCTCCATTTTCTGCCATCGGTATAGAGTAGTGCATCACATGGCAGGTTAATCCTACACATCGCAGTTTTTGTATCCATTAATTTAATGCCTAGGTTCAAATAACATGTTATATTTTCTATTGGTACACTATCATTGTCCAAAATGAAAGACGCTAGTGGACCTTTGACAGCTTCTATTACTCTTCTGGTACTCAGTTAAATAAGAAACAAGGTGTCCCTTCTGAGAAATAAATTAACCATAATACTGTCACCATCATAACCTACATATTAAAAGTAGCCTCAAATCTACTCCACTTTGTCTTGGTAAATTGGGCAGGTTATTAAAAAAAAAGTGGTTGTATTTTTTTAAAATGACCTCCAATGAACTCCCTTCTTAAATTTTAGTCTAATAATATTGACCATTGTAGACCTGTGTCAGAGAAAGAACAGGATTAGCTGTGTTCCTCCTGGGCATAGCAACAAGGACATTTGAAAATAGAAGACCATCTTGAGGCCAACACTCCAGTGATCTAGAAGGTAGCAGCCAAAATAACAACCCATAAGGGTTAAGATCAGACAAAGCTAGAAAGGAGTTTTTAGCAGAGTCGGCTTTGTAAATTTAAATAGTTAAAATACAATGCCGATGGAGCAACAATGTCTTGTTTCCAGCAACTGAAGAATATACCTTTGTCACTGAAACAAAAAGTTTCACTTAAGTTTGTTTCAAAATTGAATAAGACTTCCAATTTAAATGTATTGAAGCCATTGATAACTATATACTTATTACTGCATTGGCTGCCCCCCTTAAAATCCTACCTTCATAAATTGTCAGGGACAAAAACAGGTTCCAACTCTAAATTGAGGATTTGAGAAAGAGTCTAAAATAAGCAATATTAAAAAAATTAAATTGGCGTTGGTGTTTGATGCATTCAGCTGTGTTCCAGTCATCTGGATGGTGGTCTGTAAATGATCAAGCGTGGACCAGACAATCCAGTATTTGACATCATGAGCATTGATCTATGCAACTGGGATATGATTACATGCATCAACCAGGTCAGCAAGCCTAATCACCTGATCCCGTTAGTGGCCTCTAACTACAAACATAGTCGCCTTTTACGGCAAGCATGGGTTGCTGAAGACCTAGTCTAACCTGGATGTTCACAAGTGATCATGATTCAGTTATCTATTGTCTTTCTCTTTCCTAAACCCACATTCATCCCTACAATGACATAAGTGTAGCCAAATGTAAGAGAACTGTCTGCTTGGAAACTGTGAACGTTCATACCATAAATGTTTCTCTTCTTCTATTTAGCTATAATGTGTGGTGGTGGTCATGAAATGAGTAGAAAGTAATTTATTTCTAGCAAGTTCATCATAATGTTTTAGCAAGTTCATCGTAATGTTTAGCAAGTTCATCGTAATGTTTTAGCAAGTGTATCGTAATGTATCAGTACAGAAAAAAACATATCGTGTACCTATCGTCACATAAAAACTCACGATGTACCGATATGGTTATGGTTTCAACAAAATCGTCATGTTGGCATCTCTGCAAAGATGGAGCCTACAACAAGCAATACACAGCTACGACACAGCCTTGCATGCCAGTGCTGCAGGGATCTCCTCTGTGCCAGCAGGGTGTATCAGTTAGTGGAACCATGGTGGAATCAGTGTGTATGCTGCTCACCTTGTCCAAAATCTTAGTTTTGTGTTGCTATCAAAATATATTACTGTATCTTCTGATTTCATGTTCAGAACACTGATTATAGTTGAAAAAAATAGCAATAGCTGAACAAAACATGTTTTCTTTCACTTCATTAATCTGATATTATGAATTAGGGATTTATGATCTGGACCTGATCAGAGGGCCGATTTTTGCCTCAAATCTGAATTGGAATTAAAAATTCTTTTCAGTTTGGCTGCCAAGGGCACTTTGTTTAGAATATTAGATACACGAATTAAAAATTCTTTTCAGTTTGGCTGCCAAGGGCACTTTGTTTAGAATATTAGATATCCCTGTAAGATTTTTAAATTTTCATCCCTATTGTTAATTGAGATGTTTGTTTATATTACACAACCCTGTATTCACCTTGCAGCAAGTGTTTATAAACAAACGACTCAAATGCTTTAAGTCAAAGTACCCAATACAATATACATCTGGGGAGCTATGGGCATGAATTGTCAACAACAAAAGTAGCAGCAGTAAATGGCTTGCTTTGCCAGATACATTCAATCAAAATATTGTACAAGTAGTTTTAAGACTAGTGTCATGCGCAGAAAGATGATCCCAGTATGATGTACTTAGATCATGTGTTTCTTTAGATCTTCCAACCCTTTGGTACAGCTCAATGGCTACCCTTAAATGATGACTAGGGTCCGATCGTAAGGCTTGATTCAGCAAATCAGTCACTTTGTCACCCAGGCTTATACCTAAAACACTAAGGTAAGTGAAAATAAAACTATATTTGAAATCCTCATATTTCTGGAAATAAACTCCTTGTCTTTTATCTATGATGGGGGGGGGGGGTATGGGGGGCCAGTCGTCTAAGGCGCCGCAATTCGCTGTGCAGAGTTGCGTCCCTTGGGCACGCCAGAAACCTATGATTGTGGGTTCGAATCCCGGTTTGCCCCAATTATGTTTCTAGGTTTGTCAGCACCATACCTGTGCTCGTGGGTTTCACCGAAGTGGTAAATGTCTGAGACCTGCATCACTTTGGGCTTTCCTCCCACATTAAGCTGACATGCCGAGATATGACTGGAATACTGTTAAAAGCGGCGTTAAACCCAACTCACTCACTTTATCTATGATGAATAGTCAGAATTCATTATTTTTGTATAATTATCCTTATGTTATTAATAAATGCAAACAAACACAAAATGACTAAAAAACAACTACATCTTCAGGTATAATATGGAAGACTGGATCAATCTGTACTTCATTAGAAATGGTACCAACAGCCACGATGAGCAACAAGTTGATGATGTATGATGAAACACAAAGCTACACTAAACAGGTGAGGGTGCTAAAAGATCTCAATCTATCTTCCAAATAGGAAAACTTCTATATTTTAAAATGGTTAGATTAGCTTCATCCAGAATATACTTAACAGTATGTCAATAAAGAAAACAAATTCTAAATTCAACAAAAAACAATAATGGGAGGGGAAGGAAAGAACAGGGCTCAGTCCACTATGAAATCTTAGCACACAGACATCACTGTTGCACCCAGGAAGGGATATCTTAGCACACAGACATCACTGTTGCACCCAGGAAGGGATATCTTAGCAAACAGACATCACGGTTGCATCCAGGCTGGGATATCTTAGCACACAGACATCACTGTTGCATCCAGGCTGGGATATCTTAGCACACAGACATCACTGTTGCACCCAGGAAGGGATATCTTAGCACACAGACATCACTGTTGCACCCAGGAAGGGATATCTTAGCACACAGACATCACTGTTGCACCCAGGAAGGGATATCTTAGCACACAGACATCACTGTTGCATCCAGGTTGGGATATCTTAGCACACAGACATCACTGTTGCACCCAGGAAGGGATATCTTAGCACACAGACATCACTGTTGCACCCAGGAAGGGATATCTTAGCACACAGACATCACTGTTGCACCCAGGAAGGGATATCTTAGCACACAGACATCACTGTTGCTCCCAGGAAGGGATATCTTAGCACACAGACATCACTGTTGCACCCAGGCTGTGATATCTTAGCACACAGACATCACTGTTGCATCCAGACTGGGATATCTTAGCACACAGACATCACTGTTGCATCCAGGCTGTGATATCTTAGCACACAGACATCACTGTTGCATCCAGGCTGTGATATCTTAGCACACAGACATCACTGTTGCATCCAGACTGGGATATCTTAGCACACAGACATCACTGTTGCACCCAGGAAGGGATATCTTAGCACACAGACATCAGTGTTGCACCCAGGCTGGGATATCTTAGCACACAGACATCACTGTTGCACCCAGGCTGGGATATCTTAGCACACAGACATCACTGTTGCACCCAGGCTGTGATATCTTAGCACACAGACATCACTGTTGCACCCAGGAAGGGATATCTTAGCACACAGACATCACTGTTGCACCCAGGAAGGGATATCTTAGCACACAGACATCATTGTTGCACCCAGGAAGGGATATCTTAGCACACAGACATCACTGTTGCACCCAGGAAGGGATATCTTAGCACACAGACATCACTGTTGCACCCAGGAAGGGATATCTTAGCACACAGACATCACTGTTGCACCCAGGCTGGGATATGTCTGCAATACTATACCAATGACAATGAAATTATGTATTTAAGACCACTGTTTTCTGCAGTTCGTTAGCAAGAATAGGGTAAGAAAATATTCTAACACTGATAAGAGTGCTAATTAATCTTTCTTTAGACAGTCATGTTTCAAGCTTCCCATAAGGAACCTGGACCCTGTTCTGTGATCTACAACAATACTATCAAAAATTACAATACTGAAAGCTGTAGGATTATTTCGTGGGGTCTTGGTCAAATGATTGGGGGATGGGATAAGTTAACTATTATTGTTAAGGAAACACTAAGACTGACACCACTTTCACAGAATGGAAGTTATATCTCACAAATCTGGCATTCAAATTCCTTATACCGTACCTTTGATCGGATATCTTGGTCACTTTATCTTTGGTGTTGGTGCCTTTCTTGAGATCTTTCCGTGGAGAAGGGCGTTTGAGGGGTTTCAGTAGTGTGGAATTTAGGAACTCCTTCATGTCATTTGCAGTTGAGAGTTGGTTGGCCATTTTCAAATCTCTTGCCCCATCCGTTGATGATACAGTTGGTTCTTCCTCCACCTTGCTAGCCTTTGCCACAGCCTTGCCTGGCTGTACGGTGTCAATGACAACTTTATCAGTGCGATCTTTATCTCCTTTGGGTATATTTCTGGAGCGTTGTAGATTGTTTTCAAGGAAAGTTCTCATGTCTTGAGCACTAGCTACAACATCCGTAACTGGAGGCCTCAACGATGGACTGTCATCAAGCCTCTCCTCATCAGACTTGGGCTTCTTTCCATGTTTTCCTGAAGCGTCCGATACTGAGAAATTCTTCACAATAGACTCGACTTCACTTTCAGAAAGTTCAACATCTGAGTGGGAATGCATGTTTGCTGTCCTCTGGCGTCTCATCTCAAACATAGAGTCACTTTTAGAGGATTCCGCCAATTGTGACTCTAATCTTGCCTCAAAAGCCAGATGTGCCTCTTCTTCAGCACAGGTTGATGTTATGGTGGAATCCTGCTCACAGTCGCTACGTTTTTGTCGTGGTTTGTTCTTCATGTCATGTTGCACTTTATTCTGTGAGTCAAAGATTTTCTGCATCTGAGAGAGATTCAGCATGCAGTGGTTTGGCACCTTCTGGACGAAGCCCTCGTCAAAGCCCAAAGGAAGGCTGGTCATCCTAAGTGGGCGTGGCGGGTCATGCATGTCTGGGGTGGAACTGCTTCGCTGTAGGTAGGGTGTGGAGCTAGGGGGCTGGCCACTCAACTGAGGGTACAACAGTTTGGCTTCTGAAAACAAACACCAATAACAACATCTACTATCATGCACCAAGAAGGCAATAACAGATAAAGTACACACATCTTTTTATACACATTCTACTTGACGTACTTATACACGTTCTATTGTGACAAACAGAACTACTCTGAAGTGAAGGGGTAATACTTTGATGTAACATCTATGTCATCTACCTCTACCATTAATGTATGTTTTGTTTTATTAACAATCAAGTCTGGACCAGACAACCCAGTGACTGATGTATACAACAATACATGCTGTTGACACAATCAACCAAGTCATCGAGCCTGACCACAGGATCCATGTCGCCTCTTATGACCAGCATAGGTTGCTACGAACCAATTCTAACCTGGAATCCCACGGGTAACATATGAAGTCACTATTTGCTTCATGCAGATTACATGGCAATCTTGCTACAAAATGCATCACGAGTAGCTTCTCAGCATGCTGGCGTTACGACAAGTACGGATTGCATAGCAAGACATTACCAGCCACGGGCCCTAGTCTTGTAGCAGGTCCACACTCCCGGGCAGCTACGATGCTGCGTGACAACGGCGACAGACTCGACTTGGCAGACACCAGCACTACAACAAACACACACACAACATCACAAGCAAGGAGCAAAGCCATTCAGGTATGCAGGATTTGATGACACAAAGACATGTTTTCTACTACAGGTAATGAGTAATAGTACACAACTGGTATAAACAGTGTGTCAGTTCTAAGTGAAATAAACGTGGGTTGTTGACATTTACCATTTTGTTGAAACAGGCACATGTTCATATGGATTATAATGTCTAATATTCCCAACTAGCTGATTTAAACATGATTAAGCAACTCTTCATGACAATTGTGTCACCTCAGGATCACGGACACCTGTGCCTTCTTACAATAAGAAACTAAGGGTTCACATGACAGGAGCACAAACACAAGCAGAGCATCAGTCACAAAGTACCAACCCAAGTTACGTAGACTTAAGTTTATGTCACTTGAAAGTGCAGCATAGTGATAGACAACAGAACCCTCTGCTTCAGGTAAACGTTATTATTCTTTAGAATTTCATTATACAACTGACCAATGATCATCTCCACACACATACAATCATTCCAACAAACACTATGACAACACAGTCAAGGTAACATTCAATACTTGCAACTGTCAACCGATACAATTCACATGCTATCACAACACGAGAAATTCCGGAATGAGAGTTATCTCCCTTATATCAATAGCATGCTCATGATGATGACATAGAACAGCAAAACATGCAAATGGAATGCAAAATGTAACTAGACAAGAGGTGGAATGTTCCTAAGAACTTCTTGCACCTAACTGATTAATGATTGCTGCGTACAGTGTTGCTGTACAAAGGCTTACTGGTCATCCATTAAATGTTGACTAGCTTACCACTAGGGCTGGCTGGAGAGGGAGGAATCATGTCACATGTCAGCAGTGGCTGGCTGGTCGACTTGTGTCTCTGGCCCGGAGACAGGGCTGGCCATTTCACAGGGCTGCTGGGGTAGGACTGGGGGCTGTGATGGGGTGGTGGGGGTGGGGGAGGGGGAGGTGGAAGGGGTGGTGGCGGTGGTGGTGGAGGTATGCATAGGTTGAATGGAAGTGAAGGTGGAAAGAAGTTGGGGGAGCATGCCTGTGGAGACGGCAGCTGAGATGGTGGTGTGCTTGACCAGGGCTCTGGGGGTAGTGGCGGGGCTGAGGGGGGAGGGGTGAAGAGGGAGGGGCTAGAAGGATGGAGCTGGTTGTTGTTATTGTTGATATTGATCTGCAGAGGTGTCGCAAAGTTTGGTGGTAACATTGATGATCTGGCAACACATGTGTTGTTATTGCAGGTGGGTAGAGGTGGAGACTGGATTCGAGACTGGTTCATTGTGTAGCCTGGAGGTAGATGGAAGAAAGAAATGCACCAGACTGTATCATGTACACTGCCAATACCAATTGTTGTATCCTTTGACAATGAATTTGTAAACTACCCAATTCTGCTTGGTCAGTCAGAGGTATCAATTCACAATAACCACCTCTGCCAATACCACTTAATCATCATTGTAAAAGGACTATATTACCGATGGTGTTTAAAATGTCCTTGAAATACAGTGCAACAAAATGAAACTCAAATCGGCCAAATGTACAGCTACATGGGCTGAACTTATTCAACATTGTTGTTACTTTACACTGTACACAAATACACTTTACACTGTTACTCAATTTGACAAAAGAAGAGAAAAAATAGTTTGCTGAGGTTGAGCTTGCCAGCATGGTAGTGACCTTTTACACATTACTAGCCCTTTGAGAACTAACTACTGACATATTCAGGCTATTATTGGAATACTGAGGGTGCGATACAATACGTACGCTATCGGTACAACGGTTATAGAAACTTTACTTATTTAAGGTTCAGTTCAATAATGCACCTGCTAGTTAAATGTGAGTTATCTCCCTTCAATTGCTGGCAATCTCACCAATGATCACAGATCTGACAAAGACAAATGGTTGTTAATCTGAATAATGAATACCTACAGTCTTCCAGTCACACACAGCACATTATGTGATGAGTAAACATTGTATATGCATATGCAGGGATGATAATGGATATTTTCCTTTACAGCTGAAAGATCCTTGCAATGGAGCTTGGTCAGATTTTAACAAATTTGCGGTCACTAAAATTCGCATGTCTACGGAAGATTCTCATCCCTGCATATGGGACACAAAATCAAGGTTGTTTTTATAGCAGACAATTGCAAATAAAAGTATTTGCTATACATGATCACCCTTGACAACAAGAAACTTACGGGGAGATTTGAACTTGCAGGACTGCTTGGACAGAAATATACAGTGCAGAACAATAGGATACTGATGAGGCTTGGTCAAACCTGAAAGTAACAAGTTACAATGCAGTATTTGGTTTGGTTTTGGTTTGGTTTGTTGTTTAACGCCGCACTCAGCAATGTTCCAGCTATATGATGGGGGTCGGTAAATAATCAAGTCTGGACCAGACAATCCAGTGATTAATATCATGAGCAAAGATCCACGCAATTGGGATCAATGACATGCATCAACAAAGTCTGCAAGCCTGACCACCCGATCCCGTTAGTCGCCTTTTACGACAAGCATAGTCGCCTTTTACAGCAAGCATGGGTTGCTGAAGACCAACAATGCAGTAAATATCCTCACTCCACGTCTTGCTAATATAAGGGTAACGCTATTTTTTAGGGCATTATCATTTGCAGAAGCCCGAGGTCTTCCATTAACTGCCCGACGAAGGAGGGCAGTTGAAAAGACTGAGGGCCTCTGCAAATGATAATGCCCTGAAAAAGAGCATTACCGTTATTATAGCTAAAATGGATGGAATTTGTTATCAAATAAAAAGAAACAACAATATCGGTTTTGACACATTTACTGCAATCCACACGAATGTCACTGACCCACTTTTACAAATATGGAAAGTCACTATTGAACGTGATGTCACCTATTCTGTGACGTCACCTAACAACATCGTGATAATGGCCCGTCATCAAGCAATATGAGGGCATTATCAAGTTACAGTGGCCCGCCCATTTCTTATAACATGCGGGCGGTTTAATGATAATTCTATCCATTTTAGCTATAATATTACATTTTTTAGATGTTCACAGGGCTCGATTTAAGTAACTTGTTTTTATCGAAGTTGAAACATAGATGCATAAATGAGTCTAAATCAGAAAGAAGTCTGATGACTGTGTCATGTCATGAATTACACATAACAAAAGGGTTTGTGATGTAGTATGATCAAAAAAGCTTCGAGGTATGGATTAGTGTTCGTTTGTTTTGGTTTGTTGTTTTACGCCGCACTTAGCATATTCCAGCTATATGACAGCGGTCTGAAAATAATCGAGTCTGGACCAGACAATCCAGTGATTTACATCATGAACATCGATCCACGCAATTGGGATACGATGACAGGCATCAACCAAGTCAGTGAGTCTGACCACCCGATCCCGTTAGCTGCCTTTTACGACAAGCATAGTCGCCTTTTATGGCAAGCATGGGTTGCTGAAGACCTATTCCACCCCAGATCTTCATGGGTTTGGAGTAGTGTTCAAAGATCGTTGTTGTATGGACATGTAAAGGTGAATCCGACAACAAATTTTGATGTTTTTACAACACACACTTGGTGCATGTAGACATAAATATTAGGATGTATTTTTCAATAGCAGAGTGTACTGGTGCATGTTTTATATAGCTAAATCGAGTCCTGGTTAATAACATGAATTTACTTCCTGATACTGTTTTGGTGCTTAAATGAGCTGGTACATGAGGTCTATTTCTGACTTGAGCACTTGTCATATCACAGTGTGTCAGTCTAAAAGTGGCTCTTCCATAGTACTTAAATCTTGGACCTCATAAATCTTTAACTCGAAACAATAGATTTATGACATGACATGACATGACTCATGTTTTATTTCGAACTGTGTGTATAAATTCTCTGACAACTGAAGCATGTTTCAAGGTGTCACTAGTGGTAATCACTGCATGGTTGCTGTAAATAGGGGTGAGTTGATGCAATCAGCTGAGAGGAGGAAGCGAGGGAAAGAAGGGAGAAAATAAAAACCCATTGTCTGTGTGTATAATCAGCATGCTGCTCTTCACAGGTATATTTTTGGGGGCGTGAAAAAGATAATGTGAATTAAATTATATGCAAAAACTATGGTACTCTTGAACAATTATTCTCATTCATTACCTCATATTGGTGATATGAATCCTATTGGCCACACTGTGTATTCGTTTGAGCCCTAGTACATATATACAAGTTTGTCTTGGCATTTGCAGAGGTTTATATTCCGACCCATGTCTCCAGTTGGTACAAATTCCCAAAGATTAATTATATTGTCCCCATTTAAAGTTATAATAATAGATAACACCCAGTAATGTCCAAGTCTTGCCAAGATAAATTACCTTTCACTGACAACAGGAACAATACAGAAAAATAATCTTCAACTGACAATACTTACTTCTTTATTATTGCACTGAATGCAATGCTGAAGAAACTTAAGACCATATTTGTCCCAACTTTGAACAAAATATTATTCTTATCCCGAAGCTGCCTGCCTTCAAGCATTCAGTTTAAAGTCCTAGATACATCCTTGACACACATGGGAATATGAGAACTGGTCCTCACCTAGCTGATATGTGAGAGAGCAATCAGGCATCATCAACAACACTGTGTCCGAGTCGGGTTTTAACACAGCCATCTGAAAGTAGACATTAGACATACCTGCAGGGCTGCTTTTTGGTGACAACTATCACACCATCATGTCGACAAAATTCACTGAATTCAATAAGTCAAACCTGTCTTCATTGCCATACTACAGCAATAACAAAGCACTCAAGATATGATTTCAGCCTTACAAGAAGACATATGGCGATATGCATTAAATCCAAATCAGCTGACGTTGTCATATCACCATCAAGACAATCACATGCTTCAATGGCCAGTCAACTTACACTGTTGTTCTTTCCCAGATAGTTCATCACTTTCTGGAACTGTGACCTGCTGTCCACCTTAGGTCGAAGTTCACAGACATTGATGTAGTTCCCACGCCAGTACACTTCCCCGTTCTTCCTCAGGCTGCTCAGCTGGCCGAAGTACTTGGTCTGGGCGAGGGGCAAGCTGCACTTCTTAGTCACATTTAGGGTGGTTCCTCTGGAAAATGATTGCAGTACACATAAATGTTTGTCACAAAGAGATATTATTTTGGAAAAACAACAACAAGCTTAACGAAATGTCGGCCCTCGTAAAGAGTCACAATTGGACGCCATCATAACATGAACATCTCATCTTGATCAACAAAAATAACACAAACACCCTTACCAACAATTTTAACTTCATGCTGCACTGTTATTTCACATTACTTAATGGTGGCTTGTAAAAATTGGAGTCGGGCAAACCTGTTGTCATTAGTATGAGCAATGATCTGTGCAATCAGGGTATGAATTAGGAGTTTGGGCCAGGTAAACCTGTTGTCAATAGTATGAGCAATGATCTGTGCAATCAGGGTATGAATTAGGAGTTTGGGCCAGGTAAACCTGTTGTCAATAGTATGAGCAATGATCTGTGCAATCAGGGTATGAATTAGGAGCTTGGGCCAGGTAAACCTGTTGTTAATAACATGAGCAATGATCTGTGCAATCAGGGCATGAATTAGGAGTTTGGGCCAGGTAAACCGGTTGTTAATAACATGAGCAATGATCTGTGCAATCAGGACATGAATTAGGAGCTTGGGCCAGGTAAACCTGTTGTTAATAACATGAGCAATGATCTGTGCAATCAGGGCATGAATTATGACACTCAATCAGCTACTGGAGCTTGATAAAGATACCATCTACTTCTAAAATGCCACTTAAATATACCTGGTTGTGTGTAGTTCACTCACATATGATCCAACAAAACATTGTGTCCTCCTGGAAACAGAAACTCACAGTTTGACAGGTTTGATGCATGCCGCTGTAGAGACCATCTCCACTTTGCAGGTAAACAGCCCCTTGACACTGAGCTGCCCGCTCCAAGTGGTGTACTCTTCATCTGCCGACTCCCGGTACGGAGACGAGGCAGATGGAGGCCGCGAGGCAGGACTGATGTAGACAGGGGGACTTGTCAACTTGGGGCTGAAAACCTTGGGGCTTGACAGCTTGGGGCTTCAATGACAACAGATTACCGGTACTTTTAACAAGTTTACATAAAATAATTTCATCAGTAGTTTCATTTGTTATGTAAAGGTAAATGACCAGAATTTGGGGACAGAAATTAGCACTCGAGCTAGAAGCAATTGCATTATCTAAAGGTATATTGAGAATTTCAGACATCAAGATGTCAGGATAGTTATCGTTTGTTGCCACAAGTATGGATTCCAGAATTCTGACAATTATTGTCAATTAGTTATTATTTGACTATAAAAATACCTGCATAACCATGCAGAGAAGCTCTGAGTGGGTTCACCTTGCAAATCTGGACTAATGACACACTTCTTTAAACATTTTTTACAATGAGTCAACTGTAAATTACACCACATGTCTATATATGTATATTTCTTGAGTTTTACTTTTATTTTTCCTGTATCATGTAGCGTTATGAGCAATCACCTGGTGAATGAAATTTGGCGCTTTATAAATGGACATAGTGTTGTTTAATGGCACAGTAAGGTTCCATGTACAGGAGGCAAACAAGACAAGGTAATGAACTAAACGTGTATGAACACACCTGACAACTGGGGCGTCCGCAGGTTTCGTCTTCTTGACATCGTCCTTGTAGTTAAAGGACATGACTGCAAAGGGGCAGATGTGGCGTGGACGCTGCTCTACAGTCAGGTCCCCATACTCATACAGGTACAGCTGGAAACACAACATCAGGTGACTTTACATATTCACCAGATCAGCCATGTATTTGCGTAAAATGTCACCCTTTATGATCACCAAATTAATTATGCATAGCCTGCGACAAATACATAAGATAACTCAAAAACCCAATAGTGGAAGAACACTGAGTAATTACTCCATGTACCTTGGCAACTTCCAACCCATATTTCTTTACATTTTTATTAACTGATCGAATGCAGGCATCACACAAAAATGAGTGCGTATGGTTTTACACCGCTTTTAGCAATATTGCAGCAATATCACGGCAGGGATGCCAGAAGTGGGCGTCACCCATTGTACCCATGTTGGAAATCAAACCCAGGGCTTTGACTAAACAAGACAAGCGAATGCTTTAACTACCAGGCTACCCCACAGGGTTTGACAAGAAGCAATATACCAAATCAGGACTCAGGGTTAGAAACTAACCGTTTTTGTCCACTAGTCCTTATAGTGATAACAAAACCCTTAAAAAGGGCAAATTTCTACTTGTCTTTATGATACCTTTACCATTGGGCAGTTTGGCAAGGACTATATGATAGGACTAGTGCCAATTTCTAACGCTGGGACTCCCATACACACAAATGTTGACACAGGATGCAGGATTCCTGACATGGGTACAATGTGTGAAGCCCATTTCTGGTGTCCCCCTCTGTGATATTGCTGGAATATTGCTAAAAAAAGCATACCCACTCACTGACACAGGATGCATTTAACATGCATTGTGAATCCCAATGAATCATCGTATCTTTTTCTGAATCAGTATTGCCCAATTGAAGTATGCATGTTAAATTCAACTGATATTTCTGTATTGATCAGAAATACATCTGTTCAGATTGTCCATGTCAGATTTTCTTCACTCAAGCAATAAACTATGTTTCAAACAAAGAAATCTCCATCTGTTAGGCCTCATTCAGTTCACCTTTTATGAAGTCAAGTGTAGTGTGCCACATGTTGCCAGCCTCTCAGCATCACAAGCAAACAGGTTACAGTGACTAGACCATCATACACCTTAGACCCCTCAAGTTATTTCTGAGGGCATCCTGGTGTACCAACTTGATAGACCCGTGTTCTGAACACATGTTGTTGGTTAATTAGAAATGTTCTCCAAAACGCAACCTGAGACTTTAGATCGTGCTTCACGTGCAATCATAAACTGTTCTCAAGAATGTTCTCCAAAACACACCTGATGCATAAACATCGCATCACATGAACACACCAACGTATGGCTATGACTGCACGTGACATGCAAAGGTTTTAACAAATATAAGATGGTAGCGAGCATCAATCAGTTAGTTAGATAGTTCCTGCGAGAGCGTTTGCATTAGGCTACCATGAGTTAGAGTGTTAGTTAGTGTTAGACTCCTGTAGGGGTAACGTACACATACTCTCAGCCAGTTGGTTTCAGTTAGCATCAGACTACTGGATTTAGTGTGAGTTAATGTTAGAATCCCGTAGGGCTGATGGTACACATACTACTTAGACAGAATAAGCATTAATATATTAATAGTATTATATATTTAGTTTCTCTCATTCAAGTTTAGTCACTTTTTTGTCTCATAATTAGAAAATCACATTAAGTTCCTTGTAGATCTTCCATAGTTTATTAATAGGTTATCAGGTTTAGTTCCTTGTTCATTAAAATCATTGTCATCTCATGAGCTTCTCTTACAAGTGAAATCATAATAGCAAAATTTGGTCATGGTTTTATTTAGCTATTATGCCAGAGAGAGTTCTTGACCCTGAATAGCTGGTACATTCGGTATGACATGCAGTGGTTAAACCAGTGTGCAACCTCACTGCCCCAAAATGTAGGAGTGTCGACTCACCTGTGACGTTTCAAACAGCTGTGTGAGTGTGACAGTATTCCCATCCTGTGGATTTGCCTTGGAAACGTGACACTCATGGTTTGGAGTTGGTTCTAGGTAGGGCATGCCTCGGTTCTCAAACACAGGCTTCACACGACCCTGTCACAGAAATCAAAGTTGTCGGCTTCATCACACAACGTTCCAACAGAAGTAGTAGAACTATCATGAGTAAGTGAGAGTGAGAGTTTGTATTGCAGTTATATGACAACACGGTGATTTATCCAGGATTCAGCGGTAGAAACTAATATGTTTAGTCCACTAGTCCTTATAATGATAACACATGGCAAAACCCTTAAAAATGGCAAATTTCTACTAGTCCTTATGACACCATAACTATTGGCCAATTTCTACAGTTGGGATTCCAAATAAATTGCCCTTGGCAGGCAATTTGGAAAAGAATCATTACTGTGTTCAAATTTGTCTGTGGAATACAAGTCACTTCCACAAAACCATAAAGTTATTACTACATAACATGAATTGGAAATTTGTATTTCCAATTTGGGAATTTTGACTGACAAAAAGTCACATCAGCTGCAAACTTGGGAGTGAATATCGGCAGATCAAGATAAATCCCTGCAGTCTGTCAGCCTAATGTGGGAGAGTGACATTTAGTCCCAGAAATAAGTTATCTTAGTTAAAAATGTATATCTACAAAATAAATTAAAAAAATATCCAAATGGAGCCCAGACTAAGTTTCTGGCATGGCCAAGGTACGCACCACTGCACGGGGAGAGACAAGCCAGTGGATGACATATGTGTAACACTCCACATCGTCGAGGTTAAAATGCCACGCAATCAAGCAAGTCATCAAGACTGATCACCTGACCACACCAAGTCGGCTCTTAGGACAAGCAATAGTGTGCTGAGGACCTACTGTATGTCAGGTTACCAGGCTACTTTCATATGTGTTGTCCCCAGTCATATAAATTTTACAGTCTTAAATGACAGTTGTCACTTCATGTCAATCACTATTAGACACATAAAGAGTGAAATATAAAAGCTCCTGAGAGATATATACCCCTTATTATACATGTACTTTCAAATAACTTCGAACTGAGCCTATTCAAATCAGTCGTTAGGGAAAAATGTAGAATTACAAAACCACAATGTTTTGTTTGTTTGTTGTTTAACGCCGCACTCGGCAATATTCTAGCTATATGACAGCAGTCTGTAAATAATCGACTCTGGACCAGACAATCCAGTGATTGACATCATGGACATCGATCCACGCAATTGGGATACAATGACATGCATCAGCCAAGTCAGCGAGCCTGACCACCCAATCCCGTTATTCATCTCTAAAGACAAGCATAGTCGCCTGTTATAGCAAGACTGTGTTGCTGAAGACCTATTCTACCCCGGATCTTCACAGGTCACAAAACCAGGAGAAACACAGATCAATTATTATTACATATAGCACTCACCTTCATGACTTTAAACATGATTACAAGTCCCTTGCTGCGGACAGGGATGGATGTTGGACGTAGTACATCTGCATGCTTACTCAGCTGCACACCTACACAGAAACAGTGGCATGGATCACCGGACGTACAGAAATACTAGAAACACGCAAGTCTCTGCTCTCTGATAAGCACTATTTCTTGTAGTAAGGTTAAGATGATAGTCTGTGTCAAAAAACTTTGGGGTCTCCTAGACCAAAGAAACACACAATTAACTATAATAAAACAAGCATCCACATCTTTCCTTGGACTTATCACAATGTAACTTGGGGATCCTGATAATTTTCTGTGCTATTTAGTATTTAGTCCCATGTTATCCTTCACATTGAGTACTTTCTTTTCTTTTGGGATTCAATATACCGTATATATTTTGACATTTTTCATGCATATTTCTATGCAAGCCACCCAAAATTAATGGTATGATGGTGATTTATTTTGCGTATTTTATGCAAATAGGTATGTCATCTTGAGCTCTTGCAACCAATCATGACTGAGCGAGTGTTATTTATAGCTGTAGTTAGTAATGCCTAAGCCATATCCTGACTAATGGGATCTTGTAGATAATTGAGCCACAGGACATGATGGCATGCAACCAGCTAACTGCCTGACACAGGTTCTAGTCAGCTCTATACAAGCATGGAGTACTGGAGACCTAGTGTTCCCATCAATACTTCAGACAATTGTCAGTCTTGACCATGCTCATATCTATACAACATGTAACAAACAATTGGGATATGAATATACCATCCTCCAACAGGGTCTGAACTGAGTGTTGACAAAGGTAGATAAGTTGAACTACTGATTGTATTCATTACATGTATAAGCTGTCATAAGCCATGCTTCTATACAAAAGTTATTATACTAGACATAGGCTTAGGACCAGTGCCTTTACAGGTTTTGTTTTCTTGTTGTTTTAATGCTGCACTCAGCAATATTCCAGCTATATGACAGCAGTCTGAAAATAATCGAGTCTGGACCAGACAATCTAGTGATTGGCATCATATTGATCCACGCAATTGGGATATGATGACATGCATCAACCAAGTCAGCAAGCCTGACCACCAGATCCCATTAGTCGTCTCTTACGACAAGCAAGCTTATAAATGCAAAAGGTTTCAGACCATAAAAATCTAAATATAACATTTCAGAAAAAATAATAACATGTAAGAACTGTTCAGTAATGCAAAATGGCAGCACCATACCCATGTGAGGGTGTCCCAAACAGGATGTCGTGAGATTCCCAATCTTCACCCCTTCCTTGCATATCGTTTCCACCTGCAAGAAGGACAGGCACTCTGATACATGTGGTATCATTTTGTTTGTTTGTTTTTTTACGCCGCACTCAGCAATATTCCAGCTATATGACGGCGGACTGTAAAATAATCGAGTCTGGACCAGACAATCCAGTGATTGACATCATGAGCATCGACACACACAATTGGGATTGATGGCATGTATCAACCAAGTCAGCGAGCCTGACCACCTGATCCCGTTAGTTGCCTTTTACAACAAGCATTGGTTGCTGAAGATCAATTCTACCCCGGAATCTTCACAGGTCTACATGTGGTATCAGCTGTTACCAGCATACTCGCTTGTATAAACAGTAGGGCTGGGACGATACACCAATATATATATCACGATACCTTGCTCACAATCCGATATGTATCACGATACCTTGCTCACAATCCAATATGTATCACGATACTTGCAAGTGGTCTTATTTGGGGGCATCAGCCATCTTTTTCACAGACGAGATGGCCAAATACCTGGCACATTAAAAATTTAAGGTTGGTTGTGTCAAGTATGGCGTAATGGATGAAAATATTTATGTTTTCACTACTCGTTTTCGCTAGTAATTGGTGATTGGTGTAACATTTATTAAATAATACATTTAAGCTGAGAATCAATACTTGTGATCGCTTCTTGTATTGAGAAGTAAACAACTGCGATCCACCGATGCATCAGTGTATTGTGCCACTATTAATAAACAGTGTAAACATCCCACAATAGTACAACAAAAACACCATCACAATAACATTCAACATGTTCAAGAAGGATCCGTATGTATCCATGAAACAGTGTCTTGACATTTCCCCAACCGGTAGTCAGGGTATTTATTACAGTTGAACATATACAGGCATGTACAAAAATGATTTAAGCTTTCAAATTGGATATTTATCTTATATATAATAGCTATACAGAACATCTAGCTTTAAGAAGAATAAAAGTACACATATTTTTAATAGTAAATATTAGTAATTACACATGTTAAAATTGGAAAAATACAAAGTGTCGCAAAGCGTGAAATGTCAGCTAAGGTTGATGAATTAACAAGCACATTCTTGTCGACTTAGTTGTTTGATAGGCCATCTTTGATGTTGACAGAAGACAAAGTAGATATATAGATAACAAGTTCTTTATTATATATATTTGGTATAGATCCTTATACCGTTGTCAAGTAAGAATGACAACAGACTTGCTTGACAATAACATAAAAGATCTGTACTGCGTGAATTCGTAAACTGCGAACATTATCCATAATGAGAAAGACTTGAAAGGTTGTGGCAAATGTCTAGTGCAGTGATTTGACAGGTGAGTAGTATTATAATTTTATTAGCCTGAGGTAATTTCTACTATCCCCTGGCCTACCGGCAAACACTAATCGCCATTGCTACGGTTACTGATTTATCAGAACAAAAACATACCTCAGCCTCACTGTCCACAAGAAGGAATGCATAGCTGTCAGCAACATCTCTGTCAGAGTATCCGGCTTGTTTCAACTCACGTCTTCTCTCCAGATACTGAAGTACCAAAAATTGTGCTTAAAGACAATTGGATTGAAGAACTGTTCATGGATTGTCTGATGTGTAGTTCAAATACAACATTGTAATCGACTTCGCGGATTTAACTTTATGGTGCATGTGATTTCAGTGTGTATCGATGGAATGTTTAGAATAACTGTTCTGTGACTGCTTGTTTATATATTTGTTTTCCAGGAAATGAACTGTGTCGCAAACGCATTCAGCTTTGAGGAAAGAACATTAAAATGCATGTGCTTTGCCTGAATGCTTGTGTTAAACAAAGGAGTCTAGCTTCAACCATTGTGGTGACTAGACATTAGAACGTATCGTTAGACTGACGGTGCTCATCATGGTGGCCATGACATCGGTGTTTATAGTTTAACCTTCACTCATATTTGGACTGATTTCGGAAAGGAAATACTAGTACTATTTTTGTCCAGTGTTATGCTTTGTTTTGGTTTTGTATGTAAATATATGTAAAAATGTAATTGTGAGATATTAAAAGGTGAATAGAAAACTTTAGCATTCATTTTTGTTCCACGGCAAAACAACACTGACCAGCCCTCTACCAAATGGATGCCAATCTGACAAATTTCTAGGCATGATAAGCATGATTGATCACCTGGTGACTACCTCATGTCTAAACATCTTAAGTCTACAGTATGTGAATGTTGTATTATCATGTTTATGACAGCAATATTCTAGCTATATTATGGGGGCGTGTCAATTATATAGTCTAGGTGATATGATTTTATTGAGAGCAATGTCACATGTCATCTCCTTCCGATTACATGCAATCAAACAAGTAATTGGGCCTGACCATCTCACATAGTCGGGTCTTATGGCAAGCTTGGCAAGGACAGGCTAATGAATGTGCAGCTTAGAAACCAGACAAAGGACCGGCTTTTGATAAAGTTATTAAAACAATACAAGAAGAGTTCAAATGGTAGTGAACTACGTTCAAACATCAATGAAACAGTTTTGATAATTGTGTTTGAATTTTGGGTCAAATCTTTTGTAAACCAACTTATAAAACATGAAAGGCCTAAGTTTGCAAAAAACCTTGGAACAATGTCCCTAATTCAGCTCATCCCAAAATAGGATCAGTCAGCTGGTGGGCTGAGTTCTTGTTTCTAAACAGTATTTGCAGAATGTCAGTAGAAGCAGCGTTAGAAATTGGCACTAGTCCTTGCCAAACTTTCCAAAAGTTATCCTGAGGACTAGTAGAAATTTACCTTTTTCAAGGGTTTTGCTATATGTTATCATCATAAGGACTAGTGGATTAAAACTGTTATGTTTCTATTGCTGAGAAGCCTACTTTCAAATTAACATATTGAGTTGTTTTTCCGTAGTGAAGCACAACACATGTGTGCTAGTGACCAGGATGGTGCGAAAACCTATCATGCAACTAAAGAAAAGCAATAAAAATAGCTTAGGATTGAGGGCTCCATATCAGGGTTGGCCAGGAAACAGGACACTCGCACATTTGTCTTTTTGGCCTTCAAGTTTTGAGGCCTCATGAAACCATGTGAGGCAAATAGCACCTGTTTGATCTGACTCACCCTTGTTCAGCTGATATAGGAAAAACAAGGAACCAACCACATGTGTCAATTTCATGTGCTGTCGTTCCTGTAACCGAACACGCACAGTCTCAGTGGTCCTAGATAATTATGATCACAATTGCGCATATACCAACATGTTAGGTGTGTAAGCATTCAGGAAGTAAGAGAGCTATTGTTCAACATGCGATCATGTTCGTCATTTAGGAAATATCCATAAAAAATGCTTCATCTGCCAGAAAGATAAAAAATTCAGCCTGATATCATCTACATGATACAGGACGTGCTCAGCTAAACCAAGGAGGAGGAAGGGAGGAGGAAGGGAGGAGGAAGGAAGGGAGGAGTCTGGAGGTCTTCTGTGGTACTTGAACTGCATTTTTAGGCACATATATTTTACCAGTAGAAAAAGCTAGAGTACCACGGTACAGAATCTCACCTTTATTTAGTGATTATAGAATATTTATTTTTTGTATAATCAACATAATAATTCTCAGCAACTTGATGGGTATTGTTAGTCTTTTAAAAGTTCTCAGAACAAATTGTGATCTTGTGGATCTTTTACGTATGCACGCACACACGCACTCACATCTTAGGATGGGATGTTAAACCCAATTTCATCTCACCGTTCACATACACCAGAAATGTTGTGTTTGTTGTAAGAATACCAGAGGATGGTGTACACAGCTGTTATCGTATCTCATACTCAAAAGCTTCATACATACCAGGGGGTAACAAAAAAATAATGACATGTTGTAGCATTATCAGTTGTGAGTACGGGGTTTTATGAATCCCCCATTCGATTTGACACCACATGTTCCAATCTGTTACAGTAAAAGCATTAAAACAATTCGAAAATGGATAGAAAACAGCTGTTCAAATGAGCTGCATCTACCTGAGGTAAGGGTGTTAACTGACTATAAAAGTCAACTGAAAGTCAACTGCATGTAAAATCAAGACGTCAAGCCAATATTGTAGTTAGCCTAAAACATTTGAAATTATCATTTATCAAATAAAGTTCTATTATAATATGTACAAGCCATAGCACTAGTCTTGGAATTGTATATTAGTGGAAACTGTAGATCTACTTGATTTTTGTTATTTGTGACTCGAACAATGATGCAATTTATGTTACTAGATAATAAAGGCATATCCTTGCTTATCCAATGAGCATTGTCAACTAAAATAAAATACTAATTAAATTAATATTTATGTATTCTGCTTCATTGTAGACTTTATGAAGAATTATTTTCGAGTACAATTGTTCCAAGATCAGCTGTTATTTATTTTTGTGTCTACAGATGTGTAGCAATAGAATTCAGTCGCCACAAGATATTTTTCAAGGTAGTCATTTGGCTACCTCTGAATTTCAGACAGTGGACAAATTGAAATTTAGGTCGCATTGGCAACCGTTTTAGTCGCAACTGTGAGGCCTGAAACTGCTTATCAAACATGATGAAATCTGGACCACATCATAAGTAAGTACAACATTAGCCACCAAGTCACAAACACGAGCAGGCCTGGCTCGTCTTCAGCTGAGATTTGCTTTTTTAAGTCTGTTTGTTGTTTAACGCCCTTCAGCTAAAAAAATGGTTATAGAACCATCCTTCAGGTTGGTTCTGTTTGCAATAGTTGTGCCAGTCGGCATATTTCCACCAGTAAATCATGACGTTAATGTTGAACACAACTACACATCGAAATTATCCTCTTGCAACCTGTAAATAGCACTGTCATTGCCATCAACTATTTTGGCAGTCATGGACAGCAAAGATTAAGGGTAGTAAGTTAAGCTCAGCCAGGTGAAAGTTTGTGGTGGAGAGATAAACATTCTGATTGTGTAATACTGCTGGCGTGTTGGGGAGTCATTTCAAATCAACTTGTACAAAAAGTACAATAATAAAGTTTGATAAGAAAGTAATTAGTTAGCATAACTGTGTCACTACAACCAGTCTCTCTCTCCTACAATGGGAGATGTCATGTTGACTTGCATAAAATAACTTCGTTGAGTCCAATCAGGGCAACATGGGCAAAGTCTGAAGTAGTAAACCAAATTATTTGTTATGTTTTTCACAACCTGTGATCCCCTTACCCCTCTGCAATTACAAGTTAAAATTTTTTTCTTGTCACCATGGTTACTAGTATTGACATGAAACATATACAATTTATGGAACTTGATGTAATTTGCACCAGGTGCATGTGGACATGAAAAGCATGGTGCATTAGACAAAATTCTGGTGGCATCCGGGTCCCACAAATTTATCAAATTTGAAATGTAGATGTATCATGTCAAAAACTGTTAAAAGTGTGTCTAACTCTTAACTTTTACACATAACGATCTTCGAACACTCAATAATATAAAGCATTATGTACCATACAACATCACTAATCCCTGTGTTGTGTAATTTGTCATGCAATCTTGGGCTTGATGTCAAACTGTGGGTCCGTCAAGATAATGTGCACATGCTCGTATTACATTTTACGGCAATTTGTCATCAGTTTATGTAAATTCCTGACAAGTTCAACACATGAAAAAAAGCAATATTTTCTCAGAAAATCAACTTATCAAAATCAAACTTGCACTGCACTTCTCCTATTGGTATAGAAATTGTACACCCTGGAAAAGAATTCATCAGGTAGTTTTCAAGTTATAGGTCACATAAATGTTGGAAGTTAAAAAATTCCAAGTTCAAAACATGAAAAAAAAAAAACCTTAATTTTTTCAGAAAACATATCAAAATCAAACTGCCCCTCTCCTTTTAGTTTTAGTATAGAAAGTGTTCCTTAAATTTGAAAAGAATCCATAAAGTAGTTCTCAAGTTATAGGTCGAAAAAATGTTGAAGTAAAACAAACATTCTTAGTTCAAAACATGTAAAAATTTACATTTTCCCAGAAAACTACATATATGAAAATCAAACTTTGAACTGCACCTCTCCTATTAGTATAAAAAGTGTTCACCAAGTTTGGAAAGAACTCTGCAGTAGTTTTCAAGTTGGTCGCAAACAAAGCATGTCCTTGGAAGGACGGAGAGATGGACAGAATTCCTTGGAATAATTATACACCCCCGTCTTTTAAGGTTCGGGTCTAATGAAAGTGGGCCTAGGAATTATAAAGATCAGCTGCTAATTTCAATATTTCATTCGAATTGTCACTTATGTAAACTTTACCAAAATGACAATGTGCATGCTTTTGATAAACACAATGTACTGGTATTGTGATACGAAGTCATCAGTATTTCAAATCATGCCAGGTATACTGTTAATTATGTCTATACCATGCACCTCTGCTAATTACACAGAGACATTGTCTAAATATCCCACATGGTGTTAATTAGAATATCTCCACCATGGCAGAAGGTTGGCACCAGACCTTGAAGCTTTGCTTCCCTTGAAAATAAGGGTCAGTCAGGTAATCTAAACCAACATAGTGTTGTAGGCTTTCCTTGT